GGGATCAGGAGGGAGGGAGATAGTTAGTTATTCAGAGCATGGGGTAGAGGGGAGCGGTGATGGAGGGGCAGGATAGCAAGTGAGCTTGCGACATTCTTTTGGCCTAGAGTGTGAGAGTCAGCCATGATAGAGATAAAAAGAGGATGTGGGGATGTGACTGGAGGTCTAGGCCACAGGCCCAGCTCCAGAAGCTCCACAGCTCGGGCCTGGCCACTCCCCTGAGTAAAGAGGGGGGTGGTGGTGAGGGACAGAGAAAGGAGATTTATTACACAGCACAGGCACGTGGTGAGAGAAGGCTAAGTGAGCAGCACTTCAGCTATCTCCTCTGTACGGACGTGAGTTTTAGATTTAAACAGAGGAATAATTGGGGCAGAGGAGGGAGGTGTGAGCTCCTGGTCACAAGTATGGTCGGTGGTCAGAGGTAGAGTCTGGGTTGATCGTCATCTCAGGTGTGGGTGTGACCTTGCTACAATAAGAAAGTCATTGCAGTTTCCTCTCCTGTCATGGGATGTTTATCTATCAGAACTGTCCTTCCTAGATTCCAAGGTGGCTGCAAAGTGACTGCAGGAGAGAATGGCTTGGTCACAGGTCTGGTCTGGTGGTCAGAGGTAGTCCAGTTTCTTGTTATCTCTGGAATGGCTGAGAGCAAAGGCCACAGATACAGAATGGAGATGGAGATGTCATGCTTTTCTCCTGCTTTTACTTACCCTTTGAACTTCTGCAGGCCCAGGTGAGAAGTCAGTGTCTTAAAGTACCTTTTACAGGAATTTGACAAGAGGAGCCACGGAACAGGCCAAAATCCATGGTGGCAAAGAATGCATACTTGGAGTCAAACCTCCTGGGGTCCAGTGCGGGCTCTGCCTCCACAACCTTGCACAGTTTACCTGACTTACTCTCTGTGCCTCTGTTGTCCTGTTGGTGGGATGGATGCGGTAATACCTGCTTCAAAGCGTCGTGAGAATAGAATGAGTTCATACGTGTAAACCACCTGGAAAAGAGCCTGCCCAAGTGCATAGATGCATTGTACTTGGAGTCCTTCAGTGTTTAACAGAGAAGAACGTAAACATCAGGACTCCTGTTTAGACTATGTTCCTAAGCTGTAAACCACAGTCTTAGGGCTGGATTACCCAGATACAACTCTCTATGCATGACCTAAATCCATGTCTTTACATAACTCCCCTGAAAAGGGGAGAAAGGAATGTCTCACTCCTACCAGGAAAGGAGACGTTCCCTCTTTCTTTATCTTCTGAAAGAATTTGTGCAAGACGGCACCATCTAGCCCTTTGTCATTTGGTAGCATTACCATTGAAGCCAGCAGACCTGGGGGTTTTGGCAGAGAGAGTTTAGTGATTGATTCTGTTTCTTTAACAGAACTTGCAGCCATCAGCTTTTCTCTTTCTTTTTCTGAGAGTTGAGAATTTGTTTCCTTTAAGTTGTCGAAGTGATTGGCATAACGGCGTTCAAGCTCTCCCTTTATGCTCTCCTTGATGCTGTAGGTCTGTGCTCAAGTCCTTCCTTCATTTTTTTTTTTTTGAGACAGGGTCTCATTTGTTTAGCCCAGGCTGGTCTAGAAATTGTGATCCTCCTGCCTCTTCCCCCTCAGAGCTGGGATTATAAGCATGTAGCACTACATCCAGTTCTTTTCTTCATTCTTGCTATCTGCTAAGTTCTGACCTTAGAGTGTTACTAGTGTGAGGAGGCTGTATTACTACCTGAAAATTTTAACTTGAGTGCCAGGCTTGGTGGCTCACAGCTATGTGGCTACTTGAGAGGTGGAAATGGGGAGTAGTACAGTTTGAGGCCAGCCTGGGTGAAAAGACCTTGAGACCCCATCTGAACCAATAGCTTAGCATGGTGGTATGTGCCTGTCATCCCAGCTACACAGGGAAGCACAAATAGGAAGATCATGGTCCAGGCCCCAGTATGAAGCAAGACCCTATCTCAAAAATGACCAACACAAAAAAGGCTGGGGCATGGCTCAAGTGATAGAGCACCTGCTTAGTAAGTGCAAGGCTCTGAGTTCAACCCCAAATAATAATAAAAAAATAAATAAATAACTTGGGTGCTGTTCAGGAGTTTCTCTCTCTCTCTCTCTCTCTCTCTCTCTCTCTCTCGGTGTTTCTCACTCATACACAAACTCACCGATCCCTGTGGAGTTAGAGGAGCAAATCTGCAGCCTTCCTCTACTGCTCCACAACTGTGTTTGGATATGAGAGCAAAAGGAAAAGCGATACCCACATGCCTGCAGGACATTGGCTGGTCTGACTTCAGAACTCTGTGAAAACTTCCATTCTCTAAGTTCAAGCACATACTCCCTAGTTCTCTCCCTGTTACCCCCTTTGGCCTCTAAGTTACTAAGCTAATTACACCCCCTACCCTACCGTGTCCCTAAGGCACTTAGAGCTGCATTGGCTACTGGACATGCTGCCCTGGCTGTGGCTAGGAGTCTGTAGTCCTCTCTCCCCCAACTTTGAGCCCCTCGAGGGCCAGTGTCACTTACTCTTCTCCATGTCCTGAAGCTGCAGCAGGGGGCCCAGCAAAGAGTAAGAGTCACAATACATTTGTTCCTTTATCCGTCCATTTGTTTGTTCATTCATTCATCCTCCACTGGCTGACACAGTGCTGGGACACAGACGAGAATGAGATAAAATAACAGGGAACTTCTTGTGGAACTTGTGTCCTAGTTGTGGAGACAGAGGGTAAGCCTGAAACGTTGCTACAATATGGCGGTATTTCCAGACTTTTCCAGGGACACACATTGTGTAGGATTTTAAGGGGAATTTAAATCTGTAGCAAATGTATTTTGGAAACTTTGGGTTAAACAAAGACAAATAAATGTGTTCCTCTGATTTGTCAGAGCCTTCAAATGTGTCAATCATGAATTTTAGTGGAATGCTAGGGAAGGAGCTGTTGAAAAACCTTACTGGTGTCTCTGGGTTCTCACCAGGTCTTAGGTGACGTACCCAGTACCCTCCATTGTCCTGCAAGATTCGATACAGAAAGGACGTGAGGCCTCGTGTTTGGCCCCTAGCAGATCACCACCGTCCAGTGGATAGAACCATGTAGAATGTACTGTGTGCTCTTCTAGCTATGGAGTGGGTTCTTGTTCTGGAACCATGCTGACATGTCTACTTAAGAAATACCTGTTTCCATCTGATTCATTTGGAAGTAGTGAGTAGGTTGTTCCACACACAAAGCTCACCCCTGTGAGCTGGGTTTGGCTCAGATGAGCTCCCAAGCCAGCTGGAAGACATGACTTTGCTTTTTAACTCACATACAAAAGAAACTTCCCCTTGTATTCCCCATACCAAATACCTCTCAAATCCCAGTTTGGAAAGATGTCACTTACTCCAAGGGCTTCTGTCTTGGATTGGTCATCCTGGAGCACCAGAGACAGGACCTGACTTTAAGAAACTATGGGGGAGGGGAGGAGTGAGAGTGAGTAATTCAGGTACATGAATGAAGAGGTCACTGTGGGGACAACAGGCTCTCATGGAGACCTCTGGGTGGCGGTGGCCAAACTTTGTGGTTGGGAGCTGTTCCTAGAGCGCTGTGTCTCTGGAGGTCTTGGCCAAGGGTGTGTCTAAAACCAGAGACAGCTGAATGGTGTGTGGGAATGGTGAGACCCAAAGGGAGCTGGACAAGTGTGTTAGTCCATCTGTGCTGCTATAACAAAACACCTTAGACTGGGTAATTTATAAATAACAGAGATTTATTGCTCACAGTTCTAGAGGCTGTGAACTTCCAGAAGTCCAACAAATGTCCAAGATGGAGGTGCTGGCAGAGTCAGTGCCTGGAGAGGGCTTGCTCTATGCCTAAAGATGGTGTCCTATTGCTATGTCTTCACATGGCAGAAGGAAGGCCCCAGTCCGTAGGCCTCTTTTGTAAGGTCACTGATCCCATTCAGGAGGGCCAAGCCCTCCACCTCTTAGTACCACAATGGAGATGGGATTTCAACACATGAATTGGAAGGGGGACACAGACATTCACCTACAACAAGGAGGTCCCCAGGCATCTGCCTTCTCAGACTCCGATGGCTGATTGAGCCCTGGTGCTCTCCACTCCACTGCTCACTGCACCAAACTCTTTTAGGTCTTATCTCTGTGGGAAACCAATGAGCCAGGGTGTTCAGGCAGCAAACCTCAAATGCCAGGTCAAGGACCCTCCTAAAGTCTAGCAGTCTGGGTGTCTTACAATAGACCTAAGATGAAAGTGGAATGCCTTGTGCTCATGTCCTTTTCCAACTGCAAAGGTGCAAGAAGGTCTCAGGGACCCCAAGAGTCATGGATGGCATATGCTGGCTCCTGTGGGCTTCTGAGATTTCCATCTCTGCTGAGGGTCCACACTGTCCAAATTTGGGATGCCTGTGGCTAGCAGGTGGTACACAGGACAGTCACATTTGACATTTAATAGTCCAACAAGTGTCAGCTATTGTCATTATTTTTAGAGTGTGCAGTGCGTGTGGGGCGTTGCACTAAGTGAAGGGGACAAGGTGGTGGCTGCTGTTGGGCTCCCTCCGTGTGCCCATTGGTGCTTGACACTCCCACACACGTCACCGGCACATCCACGGGAGTCGCTGCTCCCAGGAGCAGTCTCCCACCAATGATGGCCAGGAGTGGGCAGCTAAGACACCCCCAGATACCCTTTCTCCTAGGTTCCCCTCAGGATCCCAAACGAGGTGCTCACAGCAGTAACCTTCATATTGGCTTTGTTCTCTCTTTCACCTCCCCACTGCCTTTCCAGGACTTTCTGAGGTCCCCTATCAAGTATATTTTTCTCATTGCCATCCAAGACAATGGGAGTATGTCATTAGCTTCCCCATTTTAAGCAAAATGAGACTCAGAAAGGTGATGCCACCTTTGGTCAAGGTTTTGACCTTGAGCACTTCCACGTCCACTGCCTCCCTGAGAATGAGCCTTGATGGGACCCACCCCAGACTTCTGGCCCTTGTGACCCCAACCTGGCTGACTCCCCGAGTCTGTGTCTCCCCTGCAGGAAGGCCGCTGTCTGTTTGTCATTCTGCTCATGGCAGTGTATTGGTGCACGGAGGCCCTGCCACTGTCGGTGACAGCACTGCTACCCATCATCCTCTTCCCCTTCCTGGGCATCCTGCCCTCCAACAAGGTCTGCCCCCAGTACTTCCTGGACACCAATTTCCTCTTCCTCAGTGGATTGATCATGGCCAGCGCCATCGAGGAGTGGAACCTGCACCGAAGGATTGCTCTCAAGGTCCTCATGCTCATCGGAGTCCAGCCAGCCAGGTAAGGCCAGGGATGGGAGCCAGCCCTACAGAGGACCTCACAAGGGCCCAAACTCGCTCTTCCCGGTTTAGCCACTGGGTCAAGAAAGTGTCGTTCCACATTTTCCATTGGCTTATTCATTCTGAGCTATTTGGTGAACTCCTGGTGTGTACCAGGTGCAGTGGCAGGCCCGCCATGTGCACTTGTTCTCCAAGTACACAGGAATCACTGGGGAGAGAGTGCAAAGTGCCCCAAGCCCCAGGCCCCATGTGCAGGGGTGGCAGTCCTGTAGCCTTAGGGCACTGTGATCCAGGCTGCTCTGGCTGAGGTCCATGTTGTCCACCTTGGGAAATGACTTCACCTGCTTCATGGGATCCTCAAGAGGATGAGATGAGCCGGTGCTGGTGAACCACTTAGACCCGAGCAGAGAAGCTGGCTGTTGTAAATCCTCCTCCTTTGCTATCTACCTGCCCAGGTGTGCAGAGGAGCGGGAGGGCTGAGGGGAGTGTGGGGGTGGGGGAGGTGGCCTTAGAGAGAGAGGAAGGCAGCATACAAGCCTACAGGACCTCAGGCCCGCCGGCCAGGATTTGGGCTTTTATTCTCAGAGGACATGGTGCCCTTTAAAATAGGTGTGTTTTAAGAATACATATAATAATGTACGTGTGTTTGTTTGTTGCTGTTGTTCCGTGAAAGCCTTTGGCAATTTGGTGATATTTTAAGGTTCTTCTCGGAATAATATTTTTAAATTGCATTTATATAATTAAATTCCATAAATTGCATTTATGCACAATTCATAGGATTTAAAGTAACAAGTATGCAGCTGCAGCATAATGCAGTTATGTAAATAATTCCTGTAAATACATGCATATTTGCCACAGCACCACATATCCTTCTTCATTAACAGCAAATGGCAAGATCCAGTGACGGGCCTCATAACCACCTCAATTATGAGGCAGGTTTGAATGTCAGTGATGGCCCAGGGTTCTGCAAACTCCGTTAATGCGATACAAAAATATCCATGATGTCTTTTGGGGACAAAGACTCAGACGCTGCTCACACCACTGAGCTTGGTTGCCAGTTTCTTGCTGAAGGAGAGGCTCAATTCCATTAGAAGTTAGCAGAATGAAGATGCAGTGACACTCCCCTCCCCCCACACACACACCAGTTTGGAACTGGACAGATTTGCATTTTGGAAAGGTTCCTCCTGGCCTCCATGCAGAGACCAGAGTAGGGAGGTGGGAGTGAGGTACTGTGTGCCACCTGGTTAGGAGCTGATCTGGGGGTCCTGGTGGGAGATGGTAGCTGCCTAAGTAGAGTGATGGCAGTGGAGAAAGACAGAATGGATCAGTTAGTGAGCTCTTCGGGCAGTGAGATCTCATAGGCAGGAACAGAAGATTCCAAGTGACTGTGGGGTTTCTAGCATCTACTCTGTGCCAGGCACTCTGCAGGGCTCTGTAGACAGTTTCTTTCAGTAAGGAGCAGACAATCCCATGGGACAGATTGTTTGAGAACTAATTCCAATGCCAAGGGGAAGTGGACACCCAAGGGACTCATCCTGGTGTGAAAACCCATGTGAGAGGGAGAGGGAGACTTCCTGGAGCAGGGTATATCTGAGCTCAGCTTGGAAGAGTGGGGCAAGGCAGCCACCAAACATGTGATAAAGTTATAGCAGTGAAAATAGTAAGACACTGTTAGGAACAGATCTTTTAAAACAATCTGGAAGAAATTGAAATCAGTAAAAAAGGAAAGGATTAGTGAATATATGGTTCAAGTTGGATAATTGGTTTAGTCCATGAAAAAAAAATCTATTTACATCTAACTAAATTCCAGGCAGATTAAGAAGTCAATATGAAGAGAAAAACCCGTTAGTGTCTGTCGGTGGGGACAGACTGAGTGAGGATCAGGAAACAGTGGATGCCAAGCATGTTGAGTGCTGGTGAGAAGTCCAGCAGCCTGAGCAGTGGGTACAGGTGCAGGGGAGCAGGAAGGAGTCCAGAACGAGCACTGGCAAGATGGTGGCCATCTAAACCCCAGGCTACTTTATTCTGAAAAAGGGGCCATCAAGGAATTAGGGGCAAGAGAGAGAAAAATTCAGGCTTGGAATGTCTTCAGAACTGTCTTGCTGGTGGTATCTGTGGTCAATTCACTTAAACACATTGAGCCAAGGGTTCCTTAGGTCTATAATCAATCCAATTATCAGTCCCCACTTTTCCCATGACTGGCCTAGACTTTCCATCTGTAAAACAAGTGGGTTGGATTTCTCAGGAGTGGGGCACTGGGACTAGAGGATGTCCTCAGAGCCGCCTCTCCCTGCTTGGTTCTAGGCTCATCCTCGGGATGATGGTGACCACCTCATTCTTGTCCATGTGGCTGAGCAACACGGCCTCCACCGCCATGATGCTGCCCATTGCCAACGCCATCCTCAAGAGCCTCTTTGACCACAAGGAGACTCGGAAGGACCTCAGCCAGCAGAGTGACGACAGCACAGGTGAGTTTGGGGAAAGGCACCGGGGCCAACCCCATCAGTGTGGAGGGATGGGAGCAGGGATGTCCAAAGGATGTTGGAGAAGACCAAGGGCACGCACAATTATCAAATGCCTATTACGCACCTAATAATAATAATAATAACTGAGAATTAGGTCAGACAAACCATGGCTCCTTAATTTTGAAAAATGCACTTATTGAGCACTTGCTATGTACTGAGCAATGAGCCCTTTGAAGTAATTGGATTTCACTTGAAAGCATCTGAATAGACATCACTAAGACCCAGAGAAATGCCAGTGAATGCAGTGAGATGCAGATCAAGCAGACTGGCAAACAAGACAGCTGGATACACCCAGTGCTGGCAGGATCGGGGCTGTGGGCACTCGCGTGTGCTGTTAGAGAGGACGTGAGCCAGGTCAGCTTTTCCAAAGGACGTTCTGCAAGAGCTCAGTCTAGCTAAATAGGCACACACCCACAGTCCAGCAGTTTCACTACTGGATGCAAATGCTCAAGGAATTCTCCAGTAGACCTGCCAGGAGACATACCTGGTATTGTTTGCTGCAGTATTTTTCATGGTGTTGGAGGCCTCATGGCCTCCAGTAAGGGTGGTGGGTACACACATTAAGCACCATACTGCTTTTAAGAGATAAGAACTAGCAAACCGAAAGCCAGGCATGATGTCTCATGCCTTTCATACCAGCTACTTGAGAGGCAGAGATAGGGAGGATCATGGTTTGAGGGCAGCCTTACAAAAAGTTAGCAAGACCTCATCTCAACAAACAAACCAGGAGTGGTGGTGCACACCTGTGAATCCCAGCTATGTGAGGGACATAGGTAGAAGGATCATGGATCCAACTCAAGGCCAGCCCTTGGCAAAAACATGAGATGCTGGCCCCCAAATAACTAAAAGCAAAAAGGGCTGGGGGCATGGCAGAGCACCTGTACAGTAAGCATGAGGCCCTGAGTCCAAATCCAGTGTTCCAAAAGACTAGCAAACCAGTTACATAAGTAGAACTCAAAAAACAGTTATGACCGGAGAGCAAACCAGCATGAGATGTAGATCACAACACCAGTACATGAATCAAATAAACTCATGCACGAGCCACGGCAGAACATAACAAAGTGAAAAACTCCCCTTAAACACACCTGAGTGGTTGCTATGGGAAGGATAGCAGGAGGAAGGGGGGAGAGGAGGAGGGCTCATGGCACGATCAGGAGGATTCAGTTCCCTCCACCCTCTGAAAACATGTTCTTAGCAAAACTAAATTCAGATGACTAGGTGAGGACCCAGAGAGGGGAAATGACTTCCCCTGATCACACAGCAAGCAAATGGTTAAGGATGGCGCTGAACCCAAGCAGGATGGTCCCAGAGCCCACTCAACCCACCAAAAAACAGCTGTACCACTAAGAATTCCTTTGGCTGAAGTGAAAGAATGACTATCTTCAAATAACTTCAAAAATGTGCTATTTTCTTTAGATATCGAGAAGTCAGAGAAAAGGCAGTTCCAGGATCAACTCAGAGACACAACCTCTCAGGACTTTTTGCTGGCAGCTGATTCCCTTGATCTTTCTCTCATGATTACAAAGTGGCTGCCACATGCCCACTTTTAAAAAGTCATACTTTTTTTTTTTTTGAGAAACTGGGGCTTGAACTCAGGGATTACACCTTGAGCTATTCCACCACCCCTTTTTGGTGATGGGTTTTTCGAGATAGGGTCTGTGAACTGTTTGCCCAGACTGGCTTCGAACCATGATCCTCCTGATCTCTGCCTCTGAGTAGCTAGGATTACAGGTGTGAGCACTGGCACCTGGCTAAAAGTCTTACTTTTTATTGACACAAATATATTTTAAAGCTAGCATTAAATTGCTACATATGTGGGCATAAATTGCTAGTTTGTCCCAGCATCAATTCTTCTTTTTTTCTTTTAGTAATAGAACCCTTACACAGACTTACGACAGCAGAGAAAAGGCTGAATTTTCTTGAATCTCCTTGCGAGTGGATGTGGTCAGGTGACTGAGTGTGGCCAATGAGACACGAGTGGAAAGGAAGCATACAGTTTCTGGCTTCTGTCCTTCTTCTTTTTCCTGCTGGGTGGATGTGAATGTGCTGTGGAGCGAAGGACGTCACAGATGGAGACCACATCTTGGGAGAGATGGCAGATGTGCCCCACTAGATTTGGATTCTTTACCCCAATGAGCACGACAAGCGTTCTCTCTGGAAGCAGGGGCTCTGTGTGCTAGTTAGGTTCTACACTAATACATGTTAAAGTAAGTCACACGCTGATCCACGACCCTCTAAGTGAAAGTTTTCGCTGGCAGGGTGTGGGTTTTTCCCTACCATGCAAGAAACGGCCCTGCTTATTTTACTTCCACGACAGCTCTGAAAGCTAGAAATGAGCGGAAGCACTTTACAGATGACGTGCAGAAAGGTGACATGATGCATCCCAAATCTTGTCATTGGTGAGACAGCCGAGCCAGGGTCTCTGTGAGGGCAAAGTCTTCCGGTGGAAGGGCAGGGATGCTACAGAGCAGTGGCTGGCACACTTCTCAGTAAATAATGACAGTAAACAGTTTATTCTTTGAGGGACACTCAGTTGCAACCCTTCAGCTGTGCCTTTGAAGAGAGTGGCAGGGTGCCAATGGGTGTGGCCATGTGCCACTAAAATGTTCCTTACGGGTGCCAAAATTTCATGTACTGTTGACATCTTGAAATAGTCCCCTTCTGTTGGTCTTTCAACCATTTCAAAAAGTAAGGGCCATTCTTGGTTGTCAGGCCCTATAGACACAGGTGGGGAGAGATTCAGCTGCAAACCACGAGAAGCCCCCACCCCTCTCTGAGGTGCCGGTTTATTGGCTCCCAACTCCCCTCCCACAAGACTTGGGACTCCAAGAGAACTGCCTGAGAGTGACCTCGGGGTGGCTCTGCCTCTCTCCCCAAGTCAACCCCAGCTGGGCTATTTCATACGCTGGGCTCAGAGAAACACCAACAGATGCTTTAAGGCCTCAGGTCTGAATGAGACAGGGCTCCTTGGCCCTGTTTTGAGGATGGAAGCTGAAGAAGAAGAGAGTATAAAGCAGACCCCATCACACAACTGAAGACAGTGGCTCTGGGTGTTTGAATCAGGCTGTCCCAGGCTCTTCTGCCTCCCACAGCAGAGTTTCTGCCCCTGCCCCCAGTGCCCCCAAATGGGCCATGAATATTTGAATGGCAAGACCCTTATCATAAAGATGAAAAATCTCAGGCCCAGAAAGAAGAAGAGACTTAGCCAAGGTCACACACAGTAGAGATTGTACAGCAAGACCCAGAGTTATTCCCTGTGCTGAGGGTGTGGGGAAGCAGGAGACCCTGGGAGGTCGGGGCAGAAGCCTGCCCTCTAGGCCGCAGGATCAGAGAGCAGGGACTAGTTAATCATCAGCCTCTGAGGCCCAGGACAAGGCTAAGGCCAGGGCAGGGAGACTGGCCTTTTCAGCCAGTTTCAGCTTTGGTCAGGTGGCTGGAGGTGAGACAGGGATGAGGAAGTGGAGGCTCGTGTTGGTGGACCAGGAGAGGGACAAGGATTCTCCCAGGGACTCAAAGTTTGCAAGAGGCACCTGTAGCAGTGACAAAGTGAGGCTAACACAAGCTGTCATTTTGTGAAGACCCGCTGGGTGTGATTGTATGGCTCAGTGCTCAATTTTTAATATTATTATCTGGCTTAATTTTTATAATTATACTATGAGAGCATGGTGTCCATTTTACAGATGAAGAGACTGAGACTTGGAGAGGCAAAATCGTTTGCTCATAGTGATGTGGTGAGTGAGTTGCAGAGCTAATCTAGAGTCTGCGTCTGTGAGCACCGGGCCATGAGGCCTGGCACAGAAGGGAGCAGGAGTGGAGCAGGCTGGGGCTCACTGGAACCTGACTGGTTCTGTGCTCCATGCTGTCACGTGAATGGTGGCTTCTCCAGAGTCCTTCTGTATGCTTTCATTACCTCCTCCACCTGCAGAGGGCACTGCTCTCACCCTCATCTTCCAGAGCAGGAGGGGCAGCTCAAAGCAGTGACTTACCCAAATTCTCTCAGTCAATGAGGGGCCCACCCAGCCTCCAAAGCTAAGCTCTCTCCCTCCTTTTCTCTGCCTTAAGAAGGTCACTTCTATATGCCACCATGGCTTTCCTCTGGGAATGCCCAAATGTCACTATTCACAAAGCAGTCTTATAGGTTGGGTGAAGTGTTGCTCTCTTCATTCACTGAGCTCATCCACCTCCCAAGACTCTTTTCTCATTGACAGAACAAGAACAAAAACTCCCAATTGGTCTTTGTTGAGTGACACTCGAGCAATGAGACCCAGGCCACAGAAAATGACAGATCTGTGGCAGTTGGATTAAAAACTAGTGTAAGGCTTCTAGGAGTTGAAGGCTACACTCTCTCACTAGTGAGAGAGTTTATGCATTTAGTTGTTTGTGATTCCTTACTCCATAGATGCCAAGCTCCATGGGGGCTGTGTCGACCTTTGCCACCTCTGAACGATCTTCACAGCACCATCTCAGCCACCTAGAACTTTCCTTGGCAGGTAGTGGATGCTCAGTTGGTGTGTGGTATTAGTGAAGAAATGAGTGAATGAGCCCTAACTCATACAGTGGGGATCATAATACTTACCTCCAGCTTGGTTGGGAGTGCTAAATGAATGAATGCACGTGAACCTGCCTCATATGGGTGCCTTTGACCTTCCCTGGGGTGCTGTCTACCCAGTCTGACACAAGAACTCTTTCTTGAGGGTCTCCAGAGCTTTACAGCTAACCCGGGACGTTGGACCAAAGTTATCAGTTCTAGGTCAGACCTACTGAGATCTGGGTGGGTGCCTTGGAGATGGGATCTGGGTACAAGCCTGGCTCTGCCACTAATCCACTGTTTCCTCTTGACCCCAACCATGACCTGCCTCTCTAGGCCTCAGTTTCCCCAAGTGTAAAGAAGAAGGGAATAATCTTGCCTGGATCTCCAAGGCTTTTGCAAGATTAAAGCCATAAGGGTTCTCAGTTGCCTCACCCAATAAAAACTCAAGGCTCAGGGTTATTTGAAAAAGCCGTTACATCAAGGTCCAGACTGACCTGGGATTTTTGTGCTCAGGAAGGCACCCTAAAGACTTTGCCCCACCAGCCTGTCGCCACGTGGTCTCAGGCCACTATGGTCCTAGAACCCCAGGGGAACACTGGGGTAAATGGTTAAGAGCATTTGCCTCAGTTTTCCATTTCTTTCCAGTTTCATCTTTGTTGGCTTTATTAACATCATCATCATCCAGAAAATAATGCCTGGTATAAAATACTCTTGCTTTCCTAATCAGCACAAAGAAACAGCAACAACCCTACTGAGAGTCCCCGCCATCTCCCATGCTAAAGGTAGTTTCTATCTACAGTTGTGTGCATGAATGTCCCCTCCGTCTCTAGCACATGGTCTGATATCCCGGCTGCCCAGCTCAGATGCAGGCAGGGAGCAGCCAGGTTCCATGCATGAGGCCTGGGCAGGCACTGGAGGCCTCATTTTTTCTGTCTGACTTCAGGTGAGCTGCTCTCAACCCTGGAGAACTTTTCAAAACTACTGAGGCCCTGACCCTGCTCCAGGGCCACTAACAGTCCCTATGGGTCCCTTTCACCACAGGAAATTCTCAGATACAGCCAGCTGAGGAGTTCAGCCACGAGCTAGACTGGAGGAGCTGATGAGCTCTGCCCTTGTCTGATGCCATGTGACACTTACGGTCCCAGCCCAGGTGGGAAGGGTACATAGTGAGCTGGAGATGGGGGTGGGGGGGCCTGAAGGTCACTGGGTCAGAGTCCTCTGCTGAGCCATCCCCTGGGGAATGACTTTATTCCCCGCCCCCTGCTATTAACAGCTTCCTGCTTCCTTGCCCTGGGCTGGGGCCTCCTGGTAGACATGTGTTCCCACCACCGGAGCCTCGAGGTCCTCTGCACGGATCAGGACCAGCTCCAGTGGACCTGACTTTCACCTTCAGACCCCTGCTGTGATCAGTAAGGCCAGCCTCAGGCACAGCAAAAATGAGTCCTGTCAGACATCATGAAATCCTCTTCCCTCCTGGTACCAACTGGGCAATTGCAGCCCAGGTTAGGGAAGTGGGAAAGGGACTTTCCCAAGGCTCCCACTCCCTGTCCACATGGCTGAGATGGGGCCTGATTTCCAGAGGGAAAGCCCCATGTAATAGAAAATATCAAACTCTTCTTCTCCTGCTAGAGTTTCGTTAAGAGCATCAATGTCCTCCAGCAAAGACTCAGGGAACCTGTAGGAAGATGAGCAGGAGCAAGGTCATGTCTCTGTCCCAGGTGTTAACAGAACCTGCCAGAGACTGGGGCAGGGCAGGTGGTCTACAGGAGGTCTGGGGGGCCTGGCTGGTGCTGGGTCTGGTGTTGCTGGGAGACAGGACTGTTCTGTGTCTGTGTGGAGAAGCTGTGGTCATTTGTCACCAAGAGAGCGGTGCTTGGTGGGCTTGTGGTGGCACAGTGGCTTTGTACTCTTAATGACTTTTATCAAATGGCTTTGGCTTATTAGTCTCAGAGTAACTTTGATGTCGGTGGTCTGCTGGACCATCCAGGTCCACAGCAGAACATGGCCTAGCTGGGAAGGTTGTTCCAAGGTCAGACATCTTTTTTTCTTTTTGTTCTTTTTGTTCTTGTTCACAGTGGCCTCATTAATGGAATTCTTGCCCGCACTTGGCTTTCTGGTAAATTTTTTATACTAGGGGTTGGTGAACCATGGCCCACAGAATCTGGCTTACTGTCTGCTTTTCATGTGACCTGAGAGCTAAGATTAATTTTTATATTTTTTAAGGGTTGAAATAAATCCAAAAAAGAAAAACAGTTTGTGACACATGAAGAGAATGTGAAATTCACACTCTAGTGTCTAAATTGTTTGCTGTGCACTCTCCATGAGGCTCAGGCTATACCAGCTGAGCTGTGTAGCTATAACGCAGACAGTGCGACCTCTCCAAGGCTTAAACTAATCACTGTCTGGTTTTTGACAGAAGTTTTCTGGCCCCTTCTTTATTCTATCTGTCTATCTATCTATTTATCTATCCATTCATCTATCTATCTATCTGTCCTAGGGTTTGAACTCAAGGCCTTGCACTTTCTGGGCAGGTGCTCTACCACTTGAGCTATGTCCTCAGACCTATTATTATTATGGTTATTATTACTTTATTTTATTTCCAGTGTGGGGATGGAACCCAGGGCCTATGTGTGCTGGGGAAGTGCTTTGCCACTGTGCCCCACCCCCAGCCCTGGCCCTGCTCTGAGAGGGTTAATTTCTTTATCCCCTTGAAGTCCAAGGAGAATTGTCCCTCCATTCTGTGGATTAAAGAGCTGAGGCACAGAAGATGAAGGGATTTATTTCAGCTTCTGCACCCTTGACATTCAGGATGAGAGTGCATTTTGTTGGGTGGGGGGGCTGACTATATTGGAGGGCATTGAGCAACACCCCAGGTCTCTGACCAACAAGTGCCAGGAGAGCCCTTTCCTCCCCTGGTTGTGACAATCCAAATTGTCTCCAGGCATTGTCCAATGTCCCTTGCTGAGAGGTGGAGGTGGGCAGGGCAGAATTGGCTCTGGTGAGGGAAAAACTGCTCTGAGGCCACATAGTAAGTGATGGAGCCAAGATACCAATCCAGTATCACGCGTTTAGCCACAACTCTGCCAAATTTCTCTGACCACAGGGCCTTTGCACTTGCTGCTCTTATTTCCTGGAACCCTCTTCCCATGGATCCTCACATGACTGACTGCTTTTAATCCTGAGGTCTTCGTTAGCTCACAGTGACCTGACCAGTGATACTCTACTGTCACTGTTCATGACTTTGCCATGTTTCGTTTCCTGCATAACATTTGTCACTTCCCCAAATGGTCTTCATTCATTTATTGTTGTCTCTCCGTCTAGAATATAATCTCCAAGGGAACAGGGGCCTTTGCCCACAGTAGGTGCTCAATATATACTTTTCTGGAAGAATGACTGAACAGACAACTGAGATCGCCCATCCCACTGCTGACCAGTTTCCACCCTTAGCTGATCGTTCCTAAGCAGCCCTTGGGCGTGGCAGCTGGGCTAAGCCCAGGCCTGAGTAATGTCAATCAGCCTTGCAGCTAAGTTACTGCCCAGACCCAGGCCATCAGACAGGGGACGGAAGAGCAGAATGTTGAGTACCAGTCTTTTCCCTCCGTCTGCCTCCTTTCCTCCTTTCCTGGGTTCTCACCACTGTATTTTCTTTTCTTTCTCCCACTGCATGGGATTCGTGGCAATGAGGATGCATGTTTGACTGACTGTGCAAGATTTTGAGAGCTGCCATCCCCTTTGCTACTTTGCACTGATGTTTCCCTGCCCTTTCCTGCTAGTTGCTGTGCGGAGAAATGGGCTGCACACGGCGCCCACAGAGATGCAGTTTCTTGCCAGCACAGAAGGGTAAGTACCTGGAAAAATTCCCCAGGGGAGCCAGGGCCCAATTTGAGGGGATGTGGACCAGAGCTAGTGCTTCAGACAGCCCCTCCAGCCCAAGTTTTCTCCAGGTGACCCAGTGTCCACCTTTCCACTCTTTCACCCTTGTGGCTCAGGTGAGGCCCTCGAGGGTCTCCTTTACAAAGGCAGCTGGTAGCTGGGTGTGGTGATACCTACCTGTAATCCCAGCACTGGGGACACAGAGGTAGAAGGATCAAGAGTTCCAGGCCTGCCTGGGTTACACAGTGAGAACGAGTCTCAAAACAAGGAATATAAAATAGAATGGGGATGGGACAGGACAGGACGGGACCGAATAGAATGAAATAGGCAGCCATGGAAAGGACAGGGAGCTCATGGTCCCTGAGGGTCCCCTGAGGCTGAGGGCCCCAGGTGCTTTCCCCTTGAAAGCAGGAACCCAGGACAGCACACACAGCCTGGGAGATAAGGAGCTCAACGATATTTACACAACATCCTATGACCCAACAGCACGTGACATCTGCAAAAGGATGTCACGTTCATTATGCGGTGTCCTTTGGACTGTACCATGTGGTTAGGGTCTGGAGTCACACAGACCTGACCTGGTGCTCTGGCCCTCCTGCTTCCCAGCTGTGTGACGTGAACACCTAACCTCCCTGAGCCTCAGTTCCATCATGATGCTGGGATCCACTTTAGAGGTGGCTTTAGGACTAAGTGAGGCACCACTGTAGCTGTCATACAGCAGGTTGCCCAGAGCCTCGTGCAGAGGACACTCTTGTTACAAAGGCATCATTTTCCTGGTTTAACGGCAATGAAGCAGTAGGGAACAAAGTGAGCTGCTGAAGACAGGGCTGGGTGTTTACCGATCGGGTCCATTTCATTCATTCAACACCTATTTATGGAGGACTTGCGTGAGCTAGGCGCTGGTCCAGGTCACGGGTTACAGCAAAGAGCAGCAAACCCTCAGCCCCACCCCCCGTGGAGCTTATGTCCTAGTGGTGAGGAATGAATGGGGGAACAAAGTCCCAGTGTGTCAGATGGGTGGTCAGTGCTGTGGGCAGAAAGAAGTCACAAAGGGGTTAGGGGATGGGGGGGCATTTGTGGTTTTAGCTGGGTGGTCAGAAGCCTCATCGAGAAGGCCATGCCTACTCTCTCTACAACAAAATTAGAAATAAGGGCAAAATAGTTTCTGCTGGGTATTGAGGGTTGGGGGAGAGGGAGGGGGCGGAGTGGGGGGTAAGGGAGGGGGTGGGGCAGTGGGGAGAAATGACCCAAGCCTTGTATGCACATATGAATAATAAAATAATAATAAAAAAAAAGAAGGTCATGCCTGAGCAGGCCCAGTGGGAGGTGAGGGGTCAGGGGTCCTGGGGGAAGTGTTCTCAGCAAAGGGACCAGCAAGTGCAAGTTTCCTAGGGTTCACAGAGCAATGAGGGCGGGACACTGGGTGAGCCGACTGTAGAGGTTGGGGCATGGAGGTAGCTGGGTGGTGAAGAGGTGCTGGTGCAGAGACAGAGCGTGTGGGACCTCACATTTCATTGATGTAGCCTTGCCTGTGAAGGGGATAGGAGCCAATGAGAAGGCAAGTAGTTTTCCGTCTGGTTTATCCGTGACCTGTGATTCTTCTTGGCACTGTTTGGGGACTTTGAGATGGGTTTTGTGATCAGCCCAACTGCTCATGACCACATCACCTGGGAATGTATTTAAACACCTGTTAGTGCAGAGTTTGTGCTGTCTCCATTGTAAAAGATCCAGTCCCCGCTCCCTGGGAGTCCCTGTCCATTGGATGCAACCCCTCTCTTTGGGCCTCCGTTTCCCCAACTGAACAAAGCAGGGATTGCACTAGGCCAACACTCGGCACTTTCCCCCGCTCTCATTCTCCTTCAGAGGCTCTTCTGGCTGGGCCCAGGTGTGAGGAGGCCATGGCTCTAAGCAGCCTCTCACCCCTGGGAAGTTTCTGGCTGCTTTTGCATTTATCTTCCTGTTGGGATAGAAAATATCAACTCAGAGCCCAGGCCAGGTCCCTGCACCCTCGGGGGAGAAGTCCCTTATGAGGTAGTTAAGGCCAGAAGGTATTGGAATTATCTTTTTTTTTTTTTTGCAGTACTGGGGCTTGAACTCAGGGCCTTCACCTTGAGCCACTCCACCAGCCCTTTGTGTGAGTGTGTGTGATCAGTTTTTTAGAGATAGAGTCTTGAGAACTATTTGCTTAAGCTGGCTTTGAGCCTCGATCCTCCTGATCTCTGCCTCCTGAGTAACTAGGATTACAGGTGTGCACCACCAGTGCTTGGCTTCTTTTTTTTCTTTAAAAATAAAATTTAAAAATTGCTTTGTTGCAGACAGGACCAATTCTCTCTTTTTACATCTTAATTTCTTTTTTGTTTTCTAGATTATTGAGGTATACTGACAAATAAAATTGTGTATGTTTAAGGCATACAGTGTGAAGTTTTGAGATAAATGTACATTGTGAAATTATTACTACAATGAATCCAATTATTGTACCCATCACCTCAGATCCACTGCATACAGCGATTCTTCTTTTTTTTTGGTTGGTACACGGGATTGGAGATTGGGTCTTGCGCTTTGGCCAGGCCACTTCGCACTGGGATCTTCCTACCTCTGCTTCCTGAGTAACTGAGATTATAGATGTGCACCACCACACCCAACCCCCATACAGCAATTCTTAACTTCATTCACTTAGAAATCCTTTATAATAGCACAAGTCAAAAAGTATTCTTTTATTTTTTGGCAGTACTGGGGTTTGAACTCATAGCTTCCTACTTTCTAAGTAGGTGCTCCACAACTTGAATCACACCTGCAGTCCTTTTTTTGCTTTTAGGTTGTTTTCTTTTCAGATAGGGTCTCACTTTTTGCCCAGGGCCAGCCTTGGATGACGATCCTCCTACCTGTGGCCTCCCTCATAACTGGGACCACAGGTATTTACTACCATGCCTGGCTTATTGGTTGTGATGGGGTCTCACTAACTTTTTTTTTTAATTTTTATTTCATTCATATGTGCATACAGTGTTTGGGTCATTTCTCCCCCCTTCCCCTACCCCCTCCCTTACCACCCAATCCCCTCTCCCCCCCACCCCCTCACTACCCAGCAGAAACTATTTTGCCCTTATCTCTAATTTTGTTGAAGAGAGAGTATAAGCAATAATAGGAAGGAACAAGGGTTTTTGCTGGTTGAGATAAGGATAGCCAAACAGGGAGTTAACTCGCATTAATTTCCTGTGCGTGTGTGTTACCTTCTAGGTTAATTCTTCTTGATCTAACCTTTTCTCTAGTTCCTGGTCCCCTTCTCCTATTGGCTTCAGTTGCTTTAAAGTATCTCGCTAACTTTTTTGCCTAGGGCTTTCCTGGAACCAAGATTCTCCTGCCTCAGACTCCCAAGTGCTGGGATTACAGGCTGCACCAACAGGCCCAGCTTCATTGTGATCTCTTAATGATATAATTAAAAGTTCTTAACTTCCTTCTTTCTCCAAGCTGTTTATATCTGTACAATGTACAAGGAAGGCGACTCAGAAAAGTCAAATAAGGAATAAAAGAACCAGAATTGCCCCACCAAGGAAGGCACAAAAACAAGCTTATATTCCATTCTAGCTCTATCCTAGACTCTAAATACCTGTAGATTCATGAAACATGCAGACTTTAAAAATAAAAGCCTAAATAGCACTGTTGCCTTTCCTTACACACCCACTCACCTCACCCACTTTAATAGCTGCCCCTGCGTTCTATCCGGAAATAGAGCATTTGTTTAGCCAGTCCCCGTTGGATGGAAACTTAGGTTGCTTTTGATGTGAATGATATCTAATGCCATAGTGGACACCCTTGTTCCCACACCTGAGACACTGGTCTCATTGCCTTAGGAAAAATTCTTAGAGAAGAAACTTGAGCTGGAGGTTGTCTGTGCCTATGCCAAATTTCTCCCAGAAAGAACTCTTGACTCTCCTAACCCCAAACACCAGGCAGAGCACACGCAGCCTGTTTCTCTGGGAGGCAGGAACTTGGAGTGTGCCCTGAGTGGCTTCTCTTTGGGTCGTTTAAAGCAGAGGTCACCCTGAAGAGGCGGAGGCACCACTGGATCTGCCCTCAGACTCCACCAAGGAGGAGGAATACCGCAGGAACATCTGGAAGGGCTTCCTTATCTCCATCCCCTACTCGGCCAGCATTGGGGGCACCGCCACTCTCACAGGCACAGCCCCCAACCTCATCCTGCTCGGCCAGCTCAAGAGGTAAAAGCAAATGTCCCTAGGCCCAAGGTTTCCACTCATTCAGGAATGGGGACACAGAGACGTGCAAACACACACACACAGAGCAATTCTCAGCTGTGCAGAACCTCCTTCCACTCGGTGGGGGGTGGGAAATGGGAAGGTGACTGTGTGAGTTGGGAATAAGACAAAGCAGGGTGACAGGGTAGATGTGACAAGATTGCAGTCCTATTGCAACAGGTTAGTCAGACTCCTCAGTCCTGTCTGCTAAGGTGACATTTGAGCAGACACCTAGAAGTGTGAGCGTGAGCTATGTGAACATAGGTTGGAAGAGCTTTTCAGGCAGAGGGAACAGCCAGTAGTACAAAGGCCTTGAAGTGGGGCTGTTCCTGGAGAGTCGCAGGGATCAGCAAAAGACCAAGGACAGAGGGTGTATGGTAGCAGGTGCCTGAAGTCTCAGCTCCTCCAGAGGCAGGAGGATCGCTTGAGCCCACAAGTTAGAGACCAGTCTGGGCAACAGAGCAGGACCCTGTCTCAAGAAAGACAAAGGAGGCTGGAGAGGTGAGAGGGATAAGGTTTAAGAGTAGCATGGTGAGAGCTTTCCTCCAACTGAAGTATGGGGCGTTGGGAGACAGAGCACAGGAGCCACCCAATTGTTCTGAAAGCCAACCCCAGCTGGAGGTTGGAAGGAGCCCAGAAAAGCCCTCCACCCACCAGCAGGATCCTCAGCCAAGGGTGTTCTGCCTGGAGTAAGTCTACCTTGCAGCAAGAGCGTTCAGTGATGGGCGGTGGCAGTCACGCAAGGGAATAGAAGAGAAGGTTCTATTATCCTAGCTTGTTTTTTAAGGTCTGAAAAGATCTAATCATGCCAAGTGCTGGTGGCTCACGCCTGTAATCCTAGCTATTCAGGAGGATCACGGTTCGAAGCCAGCTGGGGCAAATAGTTCACAAGACCCTATCTCATAAAAACCCATCCCAAAAGAAGAAAGGGCTGATGGAGTGATTCAAGCAGTGGAGTGCTTGCATAGCAAACATGAGACCCTGAGTTCAAACCCCAGCACTGCCAAAAATAAATAAAAAGATCCAGTTTTTCAAGGTTCCACATCTGTGATTTTTCAGATTCTGAGAAGCTGGGGTTTCTAAAGGTTTTTGTGGGTTTTTTTTTTTTTTTTTTTTTGCAGTGCTGGGGAATTGAACTCAGAGTCTGGCAGTTACTCTACCACTTGAGCCACATCTCCAGCCTGTGTAGACATCATTTGTCTTGCTGGACAGGCTCTAGCATGGCCATTGTCGGGGAGCCAACGGCAGCTGAGTCTTAGAGTTTGTCGTAGTCCCACCTGCCTGCTTCACTGGGGCAGCTGCGTGGCACAGGAGCACTGCAGGGCACCAGCGAGGCCACTGGGTCAGAACCCAGCATCCTGCAGAAGAGAAAGGGGGGGAGCAGCCTGTTGTGTGAGGAGCCCGCCCCCGTGGGCAAGGCCGCGGGATGGGGGGCTGCCTCACCTCCTACCCTTTCCCAGTTTCTTCCCGCAGTGCGACGTGGTGAACTTCGGCTCCTGGTTCATCTTCGCCTTCCCCCTTATGCTGCTGTTCCTGCTGGTGGGCTGGCTCTGGATCTCCTTCCTGTACGGGGGCATGAGCTTGCGGTAACTCACGTTTTCTCCTTGGGGAAGCTGGGCCAAGAAGCCCGAGCTAGAAAACAGGAGGTGTGTCATATACTCAGGTCTTCACTTGACTATGGGGATGGGGTGTCCTGTCTGCCACACCCACGCCCACAGTTAGTGCTTTTCAACTAAGGCGAACAGTCATGGCCAGAGGACAGGGGCAGACAGGGTTCCCCATTTCATGGGGCCCTGCTACAGAAGATAACCTGAGTGAAGATAAGACACGAAATAATACCAAATCGTATTAGGAGGGAAAATACTCTGTTAGCGACTCTCCTCAAATCAACCTGCTTATGTCTAGGGAAAACTCTTTCCCAGGTACGAGGGAAATTTTAGCATCTCTCTGACATTTACCCACCGCCTTTTGAATAAAGAAGGAGCAAGCTGCGAGTCCGATGACAGTGTCAAGATAAAATGTGCTTTGATGTCCTGTTTGATTTCATGTTTCTTTCTACTTGAGACAATGATTCTTATTCACGTCTATGGGTGTGATACAGTTTTCTATTTAACTCAGTCTCTTTAGCGACAGTGGTGACTGTGAGGAAGATATTAGGGAACATGCAGCAGGCAGCATAGGAATGTAGCAATGGTGGTGAAGGTACATTCTGAATGCCTAGCACTTGGGGCAGCTTGGGGCTGCCGAGATAGGAGCTCCAGCTCAGAGCTGGGGTGGTGCGTCATGAAAACCCAGTAGCCTCCACTCATCTCCTAATCCCAAACCCTAACCCTAACCCTAAACCCCAACCCCAGCCCCTATCCCTAACCCTAAACCCTAGCCCTAGCCCTAATCCTAACCGTAAACATCACAGAGCAATACAGACAGGTGTGTGCAGGTGTGCCTGCTTTGGCTATGAGCCATATATTCCCCCCAAACAGGTACCCACTCTTACTGGTTTCCTGGGGGCTGTTCTAGAGTTTCTTTAAGCAATGTTAAACAGACACAAATAGATTTTTCTGGCGGCTGGTCCTCCTGACGATTTCATTCTGCGTGTTAGCAAGCATTTCATTTTTATAAGAGAAATTTCCAGAAGTAGGATTTCTGGATCAGAGAAGAAACACATTTTTATTTTAGTAGACATTGTTAAATCATTCTCCCTGAGAATTATACTAACTATCTCTCCATTCATGACGTGTGGGACAGCCTGTTTTCCTGCAGAGAAGTGGATTTTTAATACTCAGAGAGGGAAATAATTTGTGTTTATCTTATTATGAGGGATTTGGAGCAAGTTTCCATGTGGTTGGGAGACAGCAGTATTTCCTGTCCCGTAAGCAGGAAATCCAAGCATTCGAGAACCTTTGTACATTTTTCAAATGGCTCGTTGGTCTTGGTCTTACTGATTTCTAGTGCTCTTTCTGTTAGAGAACATAGTGTTTATTCTGCAATATGAGATGTAAAATTTTTTTCCTGATTAGCCTTTTAACTTTACTTTTTTCCCATGCAGAATTCTTTTAAAATCTTTTATGTTTGTGAATTTGTCAATATTTTTTCATATAGCTTCAGAAATTTCAATTACAACATGGAAAGGTTTTCTCATTACAAGAGTTTATAAAAGAATGGTTCCATGTTTTCTTCTAGTATTTTTATATGTTTTATATTTGAACCTCTGATCTGTATGGAGCTCATACAGATCATTGTAAGGCTTGGAACCAACTTCATTTTTTTGACGCAATCGGCCACCATACCTTAAATGTTAGTTAACTTAATTCCATTCAGTGACACCCCAAACTTAACTTTTGATGAAACCACTTTATCTGTCTTTGTTTGCTTGTGCTTTTCGTGTCCTACCTAAGAAACTGCTGGCTAATCCAAGGCCATGAAAATTTATGCCTACCTTTTTTTCTAAGAGTTCCATGACATTAGTTCTTGTATTTAGACCTTCAGTTTGTTTGGGGTGAAATTTTGTGTGTGGCATGAGGTCGGGATCCAAGTCCTTCGTTGTGTGGCTATCCAATTACCACGTATTGTGATCTTGGTGCTCTTGCCAAAAATCAGTTTCTGGAGAGGGGTGGGTTTGTTTCTGGACTCTGTTCCATTGATCTGTGTCCATCACCTGTACTGAATAGCCCATCTTTCCACACCAGTCTGAGACACCAACTGTTTTTGTGTTTGGTGGGACTGGGATTTGAACTCAGGGCTTTGTGCTCTATGCTCTACTGTTTGAGTCACACCTTCAGTTCATTTTGCTCTGATTATATTTGGCAAACTATTTGCCTGAGCTAGTCTTGAACCACAGTCCTCCTGATCTCTGCATCCCGAGTAGCTAGAATTATAGGTGTGCGCCATGGCACCTGGCTGGCTGAGATACCAGCTTTACCCCAGGGTGACTGATGGAGCTGATTTCTAGGCTTTCTGTGTCACTCCATTGGTTTGTCTGTTTATTCAAGTGTCTGTTTGACCCACAAAAGGATTTGAAGCCTGGGAGTCATGTGACTAATCACTTCACAGTTTTAAAAGGTCACCTGAGCTACAGGTGGGGACACCAATTTTAGGAACAGAAGAGAGAAACCAGGCCGACGCCTGGCTCCAGAGCAGAGACTCTGCAGCTTGGCCAGATGGTGTTGGGGTGGGCGTGGGAGGGTGGCAGAGGGGAAGTCCAGCACACCCGCCATGGCCCCTGCTAATCTGCGCCTTTCTGTTTCAGGGGCTGGAGGAAGAAGAAGTCACAGATAAGAGCTGACGCAGAGGACAAGGCTCGAGCTGTGATTCGGGAAGAATTCCGGAACTTGGGACCCACCAAGTGCGTGGAGTGCTGGGGAAGAGGAGCCACCTCTGCCTACCCTGGCTGAGTCCCAGGGGGACAGCGGGACCCACAGCTGGGGGGCTTGGAGAGAGAGGATGGGAGCTACCTGGCACAGCACAGTTGTCCTCTTGCCCTGGTGCTGGGGTGGTTACCTTGAGGACCGAAAAGCCCTTCAGAGCGTGCTCAGGTGGGGACCCGCCCCCTCCACCTAAGGTTCCCTTCCCCCCTGGCGCAGGGGACATCTGACACCATCTCCTGATGGTAGTGGGAACAACTAGGCCTCAGCAACTTCTGTCCAAGGGCTGCTTCTGCCACTCCTTCCTGTGTGACTTTGCTCAGGATGCCAGCCCTCTCTGGGCTCTGCGCCCCAATCTGTGAGATGGATACAATGGCTGCTGCTTCCTCCAGCGTTCTGTCTTTCCACTCCTGCACACCCTCTGTCTGCGTCTGTCCTCTTTCTGTGCATGTCACCCCTCAGGGTGTCTGTCTGTCCCTGTCTGTGTGTGCTTATCTGTGTGTCTCTATGTGACTGTTGCTCTCTCTGTCCACCTCTGTTTCTGTTGTCTTTTTTTCCACTTTTTTGCCTTCGACTCTGTCTACTGTTTTCTTTCTCTCTGTCTTGTTTTTCCCTAGGATCCTGAAAAATCCCTGATGATAATAACATGGGGTGGTGGTGTTTAGACATGATCCTGAGGCAGTGGGGGCCTGGACAGGAATCAGTGACACAGTGGAACATCCTGCCCTTATTCTGGGGACTCCCTGGGAGTGGAGGCTTCCTCTTGGCTTTCTCAGAGGTAGTCTGGACCAGTCCTGCCTGTGGGCACCTGCCTGAGCCCAGGGTCTCCACCACTCCTGTGTCTCTGTGCCACAGGTTTGCCGAGCAAGCCGTTTTCATTCTGTTCTGCGCATTTGCCATCCTCCTCTTCTCCCGGGATCCGAAGTTCATCCCTGGCTGGGCCAGCCTCTTCGACCCTGGGTGAGATTCTGGGGCCCCTCAGGATGGAGTCCAACAGGGAGGATTCTGGGATGGAGCACGTGGAGCTGGAGGGGTAGCACAGCTGGGAGCCCTGAGCTGTCTTTGCACTCCTTGTCTCATGTAACTATGTGCTTATAGCTCCTTCTCTGCCTCTCACATGAGTCTGGGATTAGACAATAAATTATTTGGTTCTCAGGTGTTAAGAGCCCTGACTTTGAAATCAGACAAAACTGGCTTAGAGTCTGTTCTGCCTCTTGTGAGCTGCCTGTCTCTGAACAAATCCATCCTCCCTCTCTCCCTCCCTCCTTCCTTCCTTCCTTCCTTCCTTCCTTCCTTCCTTCCTTCCTTCCTTCCTTCCTTCCTTCTTCCCTCCCTCTCTCCCCCATCCTGCCTCCCTTCCCTTCCTCCCTTTCTCCCTCCCTTCCCCCCTCTCTCCCTCCCTTCCCTTCCTCCTCCTTTCTTCCTTCCTCCCTTCCTCTCCCCCTTCCCTCTCTCTTCCTCCCCCCTCCCTCTACTCATTTCTGGAGAACCTGTTGCACACTGAGCCTTCCACTGGATGTCAGGGATGAGCAAAGGCACGTACTTACACAATAAAATAACTGCTCGTTAGACCAAGTGCCATGAAGAAGAGTGAGCCGGTTCTGTTATAAAATGATGGGGTGGAGGGCATTGACTTTGGATAGCTGTGGAAAGAACCAAAGCTCAAGAAAGGTGGTGGAAAAAGCAGTGGAGACCCTCTGGGAATGTCCACTGAAGCCCCAGGTGGAACGGACTCAGCAGGTCTGAAGGATGGACAGGAGCCCAGTGTGATCTGGCAGGAAGGGGACAGTAGATGAGATATGGCTGGAAAGGTGGGAGAGGGGCCAGGTCAGAGGGTCTTTGGGTCTTTTTTCCATGAGAGTAGTGGGCAACTATTGGAGGTTTTAAGTTCCTTAAATCTCTTTGTGCCTCAGTTTCCTCATCTATAAAATGCTATTGCAATAGTACATTTTGAACTCAGGGCCTCACTCTTGCTAGGCAGGCACTACAGTGCTTAAGCTGTGCCCAGCTCTTTTTGCTTTAGTTATTTTCTGGATAGTCTTGAGTTTTTACATGGGACTGAGATCCTCCTCCCTAAGTCTCCTGCGTAGATGGGATGACAGACACATGCCACCAAGCCCTCCTACTTGGATGAGATGGAGTATCACTATCTTTTTGCCTGTGCTGGCCTTGAACCTCGATTCTCCTGATCTCTACCTCCCAAGAGGCTGCGCATGAGTCATGGTCCTGGCCCTAATAGTTCATGTCTTACTGGGTCCTTCTGAGGGTGAAAGAGTTACCACAGCCAACCCTCCATATCCGCGGGTCCCTCACCCATGCATTCAACCAGTGTGGGTCAACAATATTTGGGAAAAATTGCTTCTGTACTGAACATGTACAAGACTTTTCTCCTTGACATTATTTATATATCATTTGCATTGTCTTCAGCATTGTAAGTAATATAGAGATGGTTTAAGTATGCAGGAGGAGGGCATTGAGCCTATGGAAATGCTCCTTCTGTTTCACAACCTTGAGCTTGCACGGGTTTTGGTGTCTGTGGGGAGCCCTGTACCACGCCCCCGCAGGTCCCCCAAGACAGCGATAGAAGTCAATCGATTAGAATGGCAAGTGGGAAGACCTCAATCATTAGCTATATTTATCAGGCAAAAAAGGAAACAAAATGGGGCATGATAGCAGGGGCAAAAGTGTAGGTGAGGAGAAAGGATAGGAGATACGACACATCTAGATGTCCTCTTGTCTTCAAGACCAGGGCCCGGCAAGCTACACCTCACGGGGCAAATCAGCCAGCACTTGCTTTTGAATGTTTTCACATTTTTAAATGGCTGGGGAAAATTAAAAAACAAACAATATTTTGTGACACATGAAAATTATACGAAATTCAAATTTCAATGTTTATAAAAGTTTTATTGAAACACAGACACACTCGTTCACTTATGGGTTGACTATGACGCTTCCATGATACAAAGTCAAATTTGAGTAGTTGTGACAAAGACCGTGAGGCTGCAAAGGCAATTGTATTTACTGTGTGGCTTTTAGAGAGATCCTTTGCTGCCCCTGGTCAGGGGAAGGTTCGACAGCTTGAGTGAAGGTAGTAATAATGGAGATGGAGCAGTTAAGATGCTGCAAAGTTACATGTAGTACGACTTGCACTAGGTTTGGTTTGAGGGTGTGAGGAAAGAAGAGCATTCTTTAGGGGGCTGGAGGGGTTCTCCAAGTCCACCGGGCACTCTGGCTAGGTTAGACTTGTCAACCCATGGTGTCTTCCACATACCCCAGCAGACTGTTGGGTGCACAAGACTGGAGGACAGCCTCGACTGGATGGTTCTGGAAAGAGCCGATGGTTAGGAAGGGTGGAGGTAAAAGCGGTGGAGACACTGGGAGTGTCCCCGGAGGCCTGAGGTAGGAACGGACTCAGGGGAGGTGCTTAGTCTGCAGGGGCAGGTACGAGAGTCACTGTACACATTTGGAACTTAACACTGTCATAGGATGTGTTGGGCTGAGTCGGGGAATATAGCAGGGAGTCTGAGGATCTGTTGAGGGACCCCAACACTGAGCAGTGGGACACAGCACAAGGATCCTGTTCGAGAAGGTCAGAGGCAGCCAGGGAGCTATGGGTCGCCCTGGTCACAAGAGAAAGTGCTTTACAGATCACAGGACACTGTGTCAAGTTCTCATGTGAGCTGGGACAGGAACAGATGGGCCACACGACTGCTGCATTTGGTGGGTTCTGATGATTTTGGCCAGCACCACCCAATGGAGATAAAATGTTAGTCGCAGGTATATTTTAAAAATTATTTTTATGGTATTGGAGTTTAACAGTCTTCATGCTTGCTAGGCAGGTGCTCTTCCACTTGAGCCACCCCTCCAAGCCCTTTTTGCTTTGGTTATTTTGGAGATAGGGTCTCGCTTTTTTGCTTTTTGCCCAGGCCACCTGGACTGTAATCCTCCTATTTTATAATTCTTGCCATAGCTAGGATGACAGGCATGTAGTACCACACCCAACTTTTTTCCTTTGAGATGAGGTCTCAGGAACTAATAACTGGGGCTGGTGTGGAACCACACTCCTCCCGATCTCAGCCTCCCAAGGAGCTCTAAGGGTCTCCCTGGTGAAATGGGTGAGAAAAGTTCTGATCTGCTGAAAAAAAAATAGTTATCACTTCATGGAGCCATAAGAACTGTCTCTTATTACTATTGCTATTTTTAATTCTTCCAAAATATAAATTTTTTCAGATGAAAAATGTGTGTTATAAGCTTTCCGTAATACAGAAAACCATAGCATCTTAGGATCCAGTTCTGATATGCATCTTTTCTGGCTTTAAGAAATGCCTATTGCCAGGTGCAGTTGCTCACGTCTGTGATCCCAGTTACTAGAGAGGCAGAGATCGGGAGGGTCACTGTTAAAGGCCAGCCCAGGCAGAAAGTTTGAGATCCATCTCAACCAACAAAATAGGACTGTATACATTTGTCAAAACTCTTGGAACGTACCCTAAAAAGAGGTGCATTTTATCTCATGTTAATTACGCTTCTATAAAACACAAGACAATTAGCTGAAAAGAACCTCAATGAAATTCAAGATTTCCTAACAGAAATATGGTCACACTAAACATATTACTTGTGATGTTCTTTTTCCTTTTTTAATTAGCAAAGGTATGTACACTGACAAAAAATTCAAATGATACTGAATTGAAAAAGTAAAAGCTAGATCTCCTTCATCTACAATCTGAACAATTGGGTGTGTGACGTTCCAGGTACACACACCTCTGTCCACACACGCACGGACCTGTGTACACACATGTGCAAGACTGAAAGCACAGTACTGTGGCCGTGGACCGCTTGCTAGTTCTAACTTACTTCTTTTTTAAACACTCCATAAATTTATGGAAGGAGAGCACCTTTGTTTAATTAATTCATTCCTGATTGGCCTGTGACTGATACTACAAATTAAACCCTGCTTTTGAAAAAAAATTGTATTTCTACGTCAATACACAAGAGTGGATGTTATCTTTCATCTTTTTTTTAAACACACAAGGGTTGTTCTGATATGGGTTGAACACAATTTATTTAACATGTTTCTGTCAACAGCCTTCCATTTTGCCTTACTTTTTCCAATAATGAAACCCTGCACGTAATCTGTGTACCGAGTCTACTTTCTTCTGAGGGTAATTCCTGTAGCAGCTGGACCAAGGAGTCTTCATATGTGAAAGTCTGAAACACTTGCAGCTGTCTTGTCCCCGTGAAGGCTGAACTCATTTGCTCTCCCAGTGCCAGTGTCTGTTCCCAACGCTCTCGCCACACTCAGGCTTTTGAGCTTTTTGAGCCTCTGAGCACCTGGGTGGTGCAGCAGTGGTGTTTTTATTTGTGTTTCTCTGGCCGCAGTGGGATTGGCCACCCTTTCCAATTGCTTAGCTATCTGAGCGCTCTTCTTTCTGAACGTGGGAGCCAAATAGCTTCGTTAGCCATGGACTCTGGCCTTCATTGAACTTGGAACCAGAAAGTTGTGAGGCCCATCTCTTCCACAGGCCATGGTCTGGCCTTGAAAACTGTCTCTGGTCTCTGACCTTGGGTTTCTCATCTGAAACAGAAGACGCTTGCCCTGAGGGCCTCATGTCTACCAAGGTTCCACAAAGATACCCTATGGGTGATTGGAAGGTAGCAGTTAGGTTTGGAGGGGCTGTAAGGCTGGGGATCTGGGGTGAAGGGGCCGCAGCTATGTGTGGTGAGCTGCCTGTCCCAGGAGAAGCTCAAGCATCTTCTGGACCAACACACAGGGCTCTCACAGGAGTCCAGGCTAGGCTGATTTGGAAGCTCCGTGGACTCCAATATCCTGTAGCTCTCAGATTTTTCCCTGTTTGGTCAGTCCCTCCTCTGAGGTCTTTGGACTGGGAGGACAGGGACTTGTTTGGCCCTGGATAAAGGCCTTTGCCTCCATAAGTGGCAGTATCCATGCTGGGTACAGTGTGGTATGGTGGCCAGCGGCCCAGCTGCCCACAGTGCCTCTTCCCAGCAGGCCTTATTCCCTTGTACAAATCCTCCTTTGCAAATCGGCCAGACCGTGGTGTGCTGAGAAGCCAGGGCCTCATGCTTTGGGGCTTTCTCATTGCAGGTTCATTTCCGATGCTGTCACCGGCGTTGCCATTGTCATCATCTTGTTCTTCTTCCCATCAAAAAGACCCTCTCTCAAGTGGTGGCTTGATTTCAAAGGTAAGATACCCAAGGCTGGGTCTCCACGGGTCCAGGCGAGACCAGGACTCAGGCCTTGGGCGTCAGTGGCCTGGAGCAGCTGCCCTGTGCTAACCACATGGTTCTGCTTGTCCCCATGTGCTGTCCGAGTGGTGACCTTGTCTGGGGATTTCAGGCCCAAGGTGACAATCCAGGACAGGTGCTAGCACATATAGTCCCTGCAGCCAGATTCAGCAGCTGTCTGTTTCTGTAGAACTTGTGAGCTCAGAATGGTTTTCACATTTTCAAATGGTTGAAAAGGAACCATTTCCTGACACGTGAGCATTACGTGAACTTCAGGTTTCAGTGTTTGTAAATAAAGCTTTGCATTTCCTTCAGAAATGTGTGGGAGTTTATTTTCTTTACATAACTATGTAGACAAGGGCCTCAATTTTGCTTCTGAGCCTACAAAGCCAAACAGATTGACTTTCTGGCCTTTTACAGAAAACTATGTCAGCCCCTTCGCCCAAAGCAGGAGTTATGACTCAGCTGGGTTTAAAGGGAAGAGGAACTGGTAGGGTGTAGGAGCAGGGCTGGGGTTGCTGACTAAAGGTATAACGTGGTTTTAGTCACGAAGGGGGCCCTGCCCAGTCTGCAGGCCATCTTCAGACGGCATCGACCACTCACTGAGTTCCCAGCAGAGGTCCACCAGCACCTGTCACTGGGGAGGCAGCTGCAGCTAGCCCTTTTCACCTGGGGCAGCAAGATGGGCTCTGGACTGAGTCAGGGAACAGTAGGCACAGTCCAACTACTTTCTATTGTTGAAAATTAAAAACAGAGGACTAGGTCAGTGAGGCTGAGAGCCCAGCATCTGGCCAGGAGTTCCCAGGGCTCCACAGCAGCTGCAGCATGGCTGGGCCCGGAGGAGGCTGGAACAAGGTCCCAGGATGCCTCACTATGGGCTAGTGGCCTCCACAGTGGGGCAGACTCAGCTCAGCTGCCAGCTCCACGTCTCTGCTTCCAGCTGGTTTCCAGCAGCCACTCTGTGGTCTGCTGACCTCTGCAGAGCTGCTGCTGCTCCCTGGGTCTTGCCTATGGATGGCTTCATTTTCAGTTCTGGTTTTACCATCTTCATTCTGCCTGCTTCCTCCCAGTGCCCATTCCAGAAGCTTCTTATGGCTCCTCTTTCTACACCATTCCCTAGTGTCTGCTCCTCATTGAACTCCAGCAGGGCGAGCCCTCCTGCAGTGCACTCTTTGCTCTCTCACCTCTAGTTGTCTCTTCTCCTGGCTGTTTCTGTTCCCCTCGGACGCTTCTGAGAGCGAGAATCCAGTTGGTCCTCCTTGTTCTTATTAGCAGATCTCCCCCAAAGGCCTACTGGCCACCTCATGAGATGCCCACTCCTGGCTTTGTCCCCTATTCAGACTCAATTCCCAGTTCTTTCTCTTGACTGGGTTGTGAGGGAGGCACCATCTTTGAAACCGAGAGCAGCCTCTGCACCTCAAAGAAGGCAGCCATAGAGGATGAAAATAGTGACCAGTGAGCCAGGTGCCAGTGGCCTGTAATCCCAGCTATTCAGGAAGCAGAGATCAGAAGGATTGCAGTTTGAGGCCAGCCTGGGCAAATCACAAAACCCTATCTTGAAAATACCCAACACAAAAAATGGCTGGTGGGGTGGCTCAAGTGATTAAATACCTGCCTAGCAAATGGTAGACTCTGATTCAAACCCTAGTACCAACAAACCAAACAAAACAAAAATAGTGGACAGTGGTGGATTTGTGCAAACCTCACCAGCCCAGGATACTTACCAGGGTAGATGCTACTCTGTTTCCACGAATTGTCACTGGGCTGGAAAACAGGACTTATTTTCTCAGATTTGCTGATGTCTTAAGAGAAGCCAATAATCTGGGTTTCCGTATGAAATCTCCTGATTTTAACTGTTGACAACTAGTTCAAATTGCAGAGTGAATACACAGGGTCCAAAAGCAGTGACACTAAACACTTACGTGTTTAAGTTCAGTGCAGAGAGGTGCAGAGAGGTGTATCGCCTGCCTTCCTCTTTTTCTTTCCCTCTCCCTCTCCCTCCCATCTCTCTCACTCTCTCTCTCTCTCTCTCAATCTGTAGTACTGGGCATGAAACCCAGAACCCCTGGGTTTCTCTACCTCTTAAGCCACGCCCCCCCACCCCAGGTTCTCAAACTGGCGTTCCAGCCTTGCCCCATGGGCCATGGGCAGGAAGGGGTCTCCAAGTGTACTGCTGGTCCTCTGGCCACCACTTGGCAGAGGTGGCACTTTGTAGTATTCAGCACCCCAGGACTTCCGTGCAGCCTTGGAGATGGCCAGTCTTTCTCCATGGAGAGAAGGTGACCTGGTAAAGGTCACACAGCACGTTAAAAAGAGAGAGGATGCAGAAACCAGGCCACCTGTCTGCTCAGATCCAGCGATGGAACGCTACCCCTCTACCCAGTGCCAAATCCGGCCACCATCACCTTTGTAAACAGAGCTTTTGGCACCTCTGCCATACTGTCCCCTGTCTCTACATTGTCCTTGGTTGCTTCCTTGCGATGGGGACGGAGCAGTCACCTCCCAGACAGCAGGTCTGGCCTGCAAAGCCCAAATCTTCCACTCTCTAGCCTGGACAGGAAAGGCTTGCCAGTCCCTTCCCCCAGCGTAACCAGTACCACTCACTGTCACTTTGAGGAAGTAAAAGCATGAGTAATGTCACAGCCAGAGGACCCTTAGCTCTGTTTCTCTGAATGTCCTTCCTCTTTAACCCCGTACACGTTCAAACATAAAGAAAAGCCTTTTCTCTTGTAAATGAGGATAAAAATAGCACTTGGCCACAAAGGCTATTGGGACATTTAAATAATGCCCTGTGCGTGGAATGCCTGATTCCAGAACATTCTCAAACTGTGGGAGCGATGAAGATTACGTTCATTCTGAACACAGCAGTAACCCCATCGTGACTCTTGTGGGGTTTCTCCCTAAAGCTCCAAAAACTACACTGGAGCCAGTCCTTGCCTTCCTGGGGCCCCGAGTGTCTCACAGAGATGGGGTTTCAGGGCCCTGAGTGTGTGCTGGGTCCCTTTCTCTGCCCAGCTCCCAACACGGAGACAGAGCCCCTGCTGAGCTGGAAGAAGGCGCAGGAGACCGTGCCTTGGAACATCATTTTGCTCCTGGGAGGTGGCTTCGCCATGGCCAAAGGCTGCGAGGTAAGAGCCGGGCGTGGGGCGCAGGCCTGGGAGGCTGGGCAGGTCCCGCCTGCAGCTCCAGGGCAGGAGCAAGGGGACAACAGGGGCCTGCAGGCTGGTTTCCTGCTAGCCAGATTGGGATCATCAAATCCAGGCTGGCTCTAGAGTCTGTGCTTCTGACCCCTGTGACATAATGTCTGATAAGAATCACGATTATTTAATGCTGTTATTAATAGGATTCTAGAGGGCCCTGTGAGCTCAGGGTCAGGGCCAGGACACAGCAGCAGTTTCAGGGTTGGTCACTCTCTGGGCGTTGCAAGTCAGGATCAATGGCCCAGGCCTGAAGAGAGTGCCAACTAAGGATCTAATGTTTACGTAATGCGTTACAGCATTTAACCCTCATTGACCCTACATGGGGGGAATGTTTTAGTCGCCATTTTACAGGTGGGAAGACTGAGGCATGGAACCTTTAAGCAGGTCTCCTGAGGTCATAAAATAGCACTCTGTGTAAGAGCTGGGGTTCAAACTGATTTCCAAGTCCATGGTCCTTACTCTGCCCTCAAGAGGACATTGCAAGGCACCAGGCAGTGACTCGGTTCTTCACCAACCCCACTGAGGCTCCTTTTATAAAGATGAGGAAGCAGAGACAAAAGGAGACCAAGAACTCACCCACTTGTGCAGCCAGGAGAAGGTGGAGCAGGGACGCCAGCCCAGAGCTCAGGACACTGGGCTCCACCCCACTCCTACCTCTCAGCCACAGTGGTCAGTGGCAGCCATACCCAGCTAAGGGTCCATCTGAAATAAGGAAACCTGAAACTCCTTCTTGTATCGCTTCCCTTTGTAATTCAATGTTCATTTTCAGTTTCCAACAAGGTCACGGTACAGGACACCTGCTGATGGCCAGAATTCAGGCTTGGGCACTGCACGCCTGAGCCTGCATTCAAATCTGAGCTCTTGCTGGGCTCTCGGGCAGGCTCCCTCCCCTCTCTGGGCAATGTCAATTGCAGGTGAAAGTTCTTACTCTTGGATTGTAGGGGTGAAGAAGATACTGACCCCACACTTGGCTGGGACCCCAAGTGCCTGGTCCTACTACTCCCTCATCCAAAGTGAAGACAGGCTTCCAAGAGGAAGAATCTGAGATGATGAGGGGGCAGGAGGTGTATGTGTCACCAGCTGGTGCCTTGGGGTCACTACCTGCAGAAGGAAGCAGGAGCGGGCCAAGGGGGAAGTGGGGCTGCAAGGCAGACCCCTCCCCACAGGGAGCGCTGAGGCTGAGCTGACCCTTCAGTGCTGTTGGGTTGATCGATCAGAGGTGGTGGAGCCTTTATACCCTGGTGTCCACTCTGTATCTGTGGTCTTGCGCTGCCCTAGGGGCAAGGAGTCCCTGCTGAAGGGGATAGGGATGGCACAGTCAGGTTCTTCACAGGGATGTTTTATGAAATTTTTTTTCTAATTCTTTTAAAAAAAGACCACATGTAAAATTGTACAGAATTCAAAGAACAAAAGTACTTTTTTGGTCTCCATTTTAGCAATTACAAGGTCCAGACTGATCCTATGTAGCACAGCTCATTAGTAGCAGAGCTGGCATTTGAACTTAAGTCTGTTTCACTTTTCATGCTATTGCTTCCTATGAGGGGTATATAAGGGAAGACTTCCTGGAATAAGTGACATGCTACCAAGGCCTTGAAGAAGTCATGCAATCCAATGGGACTGGATCATCTATCTGGGTTGCAATCAAAGATATTCAACCTTGTGTGTGTGTGTGTGTGTGTGTGTGTGTGTGTGATCTTTGCCTAGTTACTAACCTTCCCTAGGCCTCAGTTTCCTCATCTGTAAAATGGGAATAGCAATGGTACCTACCAGTAGCCTTGTAATTATTACATGAGTCGGTGTGTGTGGAGAACTCAGAACACAGCCCAATCAGGTTGGTTGCTATGATTGGACAGTCAGAATGGAGGATAACAGCCTGAGCAGGTGGGTGGCATGGAGCATCTGCCCCAATGACTGAGCCCAGCTGGTTCTGAAGGACAAGGTGACCCTGTGTCCCAGAGGGATGGGGAGAGGAGGAAGAGACTCTGCTCTCTGGGGGCTGGGCTGCAGAGCTGCTGTGCTTCTGGGAGGCCAGGCTGGCTCTTGGCCCAGCCCTGGGCAGCCAGCCAGGGTTTCCATTCAACAGGGCCTTTGTCTGGTGGCTGCCCCTGGCCCCCAGGCTCTGCCAGTGCCATGTGTTCCCAGGCAGCACAGCCTGGGCCCAGAGTGCTTATAGCATCTCCTGGCCCCTGGCCAGGTTCTTCATCAGGCCACAGTGAGGCCACCTGTGGCCTGGACATGAGGGCTTCCTCCTCCAGCTGGAAGCAGACCTGGTGCCCCCTCAGAGCTTGGGTCACCTTTCTGGCCTGTCTGTAGTGCCCTGCTGCAAAACCTTGTGCTCATGACACAGCAGCTCAAGTGACAGGGCTCTGCTGGGCCTACACACAGGCCACACATGGCTCAGCCCTGCCTAGCTCACTGACAATGACCTCTCCCCCTTCTTTACACCCCTCTAGTCCCCCGCAGCCAAACTGACTCAATAACATCCCAGGAACTTTGCATCTGCCTTTCTCTCTTGAATATTCACCCTCAGATCTCTGGGTTTCAGCTTCTCAGGAATGGTCACTTTATCTAGAGTAGCCCCCATTCTGTCCCTCTCACTCTCACCACCCTGCTCATTTTTTTTTTTTTTACATCACATCTACTTCCTGATGGCCTGTCTTGTTAGTTTTTTTGATGGAAGCTCAGTGAGGATGGGGACACTGTTCATCCACCTCTGATCCAGGCATCCAGAAGACTCTCAACAAAAACTGACAGGGGAGCTACTTTGAAAACTGACAACACAGTGCAGGCGAAGTAGGCAGAAGAGAAACGAGACGTGCCAGGCGCTAAAGCCAGGCGCACGCTGTTTGCTGTTAATAGAAAGATGCATCTCTGTTGCCTTCATAGGTCTGAAATCAGCAAACTTATAAACACGTCACAGTTACAAATGCTTCATGTGCAGTCACGGAAAGGTGTGTCCTCCTCACCTGCTGGGAATCTCAGAGTTATCTTTTATGGTGACCATGATGGGGATGGTAGTAATGGTGATGGTGAGATGGTGATGGTGATGGTGGTGATATTGGATAGGTAGCCTAATGAAATGGCTAAAATCCACCAGGGCAAGTTTCTTCACTTATTTGGGAACTCACTTTAGCCACCTCACACCTCATTTTCTTCAACCTTAAAGTCGGGCTAACTGAATCGTCTGTTTCATGGCACTGTTACAATGATTACGTAAATTAATATTAGCAAAGTACTTGGAAGACTATGCAGTTCTGACTAAGCACTGTATCATTAAATTACATAAATAATAGGAATCAAATTCAGTGCTTATGATGCATAGGGACTGTTAAAGAAATCAAGAAACAGAGATGTTAAGGAACTTACCTAAGATCACACAGCTTGTAAATGTTCACACATGTGTGTAAAACCTTCTCTTTTTATCTTTTCTTTATTCAGATCTGCTGGTCTCTCTACCTAAGAATTTATACAAGGTTGTATACATAAAGCTGAGCCACAGTTTTCTGAGCCTTTTTAGAGATTTTTCCAAGGATCCCAGGAGATTTTGTTTTCAAACATTGAACTTTAGCCCTCCTTTAACACTCTCCTTCTAAGATGTGATTCTTCTAGAAAAGAGATCAGGAGGGCTGTGATCAGGAGGGTCACAGTTCTAAGCCAGCCTGGGCAAAAGTTAGTGCAAGATGCTATCTGAGCAGAGCCATCTAAAAAAACAAACTAAAGAAGTAAGATGGCCGGGGACATGGTTCAAGAGGCAGAGCGGTTGCCTAGCAAGCAGGAGGCCCTGAGTTCGTTTGGGGGCAGGGAGGGAGAAATTAAGAAAAAGAGGTCAAGTTGAAGTAGGAAAGGAAAAGGGAGAGGCAGCTCAGGCTTGCTGCCTCTCCTCCTGCAAGGTGGCTCCAGTCTTCTGGTCACCTTTGGGGTCCCTAAGTAACCCCATTTGACAACCATTGCACTGGGAGTTTGTGAGTCCCCACTCTGACCTGATGCACACTGGCGCTGACCAGGTACCCAGACCTTTTCTTCTGTCGTACACTCAGCTCTTTTCTCCCAATAGAGAGAGAGGCACTTCTGGAGAGGCACTGTCATCATCTCAGGTTTACAGATAAGGAAACTGAGGCACAGAGAGGTTAGTTACTTTCCCAGGGTGACACAGCTAGAAAGGATGAAGCTGAGATGCAAACTTAGTCTGACTCTCTGGCCATGCTGCCTCTGACCTTAGCTGTTGCTGGTCCCTGGCATCCCTGGGACCTCTGTGGAGCTGTGGGTTTCCAAAGAAACAGAGCATCTGATTCCTAAGGGGATTGGAGAATGCAGGTGATGTCCCTTTAGTGTCCCCAGCAGAACCCCAGGCTGCTGGGGAGGGAGATCCTGTCTCACAGGCTGTCAGACCTCCCTCCAGTGAGGAAGTTGAGCTGCTGGGACCTCAGCAGGAAGCCCCTCGCTCAGGGGCCAAGCTACAGGATGCTCCTGGCTCTCTGTCCCCCAAGTCCCTAACGCTCCCTATCACTAGCCCCTCTGTTAAATTGCACGCACTTTGCCAGATCTGTGGCCTAGGGAAAAGCCAGTGGCCCCATTTTTTTTCCAGGGCCAAGGTAGGGCCTGTGGTGGTCTCAGACAAATCCTGCAGCCGTACAAGAAACACTTTAATTTTACAAGGACTTTTCTGGAGTGAAATATTTTAAGCATTTATTATTTGTGCATTGAAGATAATTTTTAAGTCAACTTGTAGGGACACATGTACTATTTTAACTTGGCAAAAGCTGTATATTGTACTGTAGAATCTGTTATGGAATTTTAAGTTCTGAATAAGCAATGGATTTTCTACTAAACACAAAAAAAATATAAAGCTTTTTTGGTAAAATGTGTTGGAACAGCGGGTATTAGGCTGATACCAGGACTAGGGTAGGCAGACATCTAAGTTGTGGGGGATGGATTCAATGGTGCCCTTCACCAGTTTCTGAACCTACAGCTCTTACTTGGTTCAAAAAACGAACTCTAGGACCCCCTTGCAGCGTTATTGCCATGTGGAACCACCAGGGGGCAGCAGGCCAGGTCATAATGAGGCTGTGCTGGACACACTAGGATGAATACTTTTGGTGGTGGGAGCGGGGAGCAACTCTAGTGTGATTCCTGAAGAAGCCAGCAGACAGAGCACCCCATAATTCTGCACCTTTGGTGAGAGAGTGGAGTCTGGGGTCCACCCTGCCTGGAGGACTGTGCTCACTGTGGACATTGCTCTTAACTAAGAGGTACAGTGTACAGAGAAGGGGAGGGGGCTCTGCAGACCCACATGAGCTTATGGATTCAGATGTGCATCTCAGTCACTGCTTTTGAGGACCTTAGGCAAGTCACAAAACCTTTCCCTCCTTGGTTAAACAGGGACAATAATAGCTACCTTACAGGATGGTTGGGCAGGACCAACAGGTAATGCAGCAGGTGCCTGACCCCTTAAAACCTCCATAATGGCGATCCTTATGACAGTGACTAGTACTGCGATGTTAATGTTAATAGGTGTCTGAATACCATTGTGATAAACGTCCTAAGAATGGGTCATCAATCTCAATTTCCCATGTACTGATACCACGTTGATGGTATTGCATTTGAGATACACCCAATACTTGCTTTACGCTATATATGAGACATCAGCTATGCCTCATATATCTGATATATAAATTCATGTAGCATCAATTTCTTATATGATAATAATGGATATTTTATATACGTGATAACTAATTCCTTGTTAATAACTGTCCTTGGGGGAATGAAATTCACCTAAAGGGTCCAACCCCCCTCTCCCACTCATGTTAGTGTTTACGGATGGTGGATCCAAATGGAAATGAACCTCTGCTTCTAACCAAGTGAATTATCAGGACCCAGCGTTTTGGGTCCCCGGCCTGTGGAGTATGGAGTGAAGTTCAAAGCAGAGAGGCTCCTGGCTGGATGGGTGACATTTCTCTGCCCCTCTTTGCACCTGACTCGCCCCGCCTGGGAAGGAAGGGCAGTGCTGTGGTTGGGTGGGCACCCTGGGCCACCCCCGCGGAGGTGGCGGAGGTGGGCATGGAGTGAAGGCTGCCCCTGTCCTCAGGAGTCCGGGCTGTCGGCATGGATCGGTGGGCGGCTACACCCCCTGGAGCACGTGCCCCCTGTGCTGGCTGTCCTGCTCATTACCATCGTCATCGCCTTCTTCACGGAGTTCGCCAGCAACACGGCCACCATCATCATCTTCCTGCCCGTCCTGGCGGAGCTGGTGAGGGTCCTTCTGGGGCAGGGTGAGGGCATCACTCCCCCAGTCAGGGTCAGAAACCTCCCAGGAATGGGGCTCCACCCACACTGAGCACTTCCAAAACCCGCGCAACTGTCAGAACCTAACACTATTCGTCATTTAAACAGAGTATTTTCAAAGTGCAACAAGTTCCCTCGCTGAGGGAAATTAACCCATGGTCATGTGGAGTTTTCTAGGAAGATCAATTGGGGCTAGGTAGAAAGTCAGAGTAGACAGAAACTGCAGGAGAAATTGTAGTGGCAGGCGAAGCTAGGGTTCCCCCCACCACGCCAGTGGGGTTTCGGCATCATTGACCATTTGGGCCTGGGAATAACCAGCACCTGAGACCAGCAGCTCCCCGCTAAATTTCGACAAATGTCTCCAGATATTGCCCAGTGTCTCCTTGGGGAAGGGACAAATCATGCCTAGTTGAGAACCTTGCTCCAAAAATCACCAGTCCCAGCCAGTTTTAGCAGGAGGCAGAACCTTCTTTGCTAGGTAAGAGCTACCAACCTTGAGGGAACAGAGTTCCCATCTCACTGCAGTGGTCCAGAGCCCAGAAAGATAGAGACCTTCATGCAACCTGGGTGTGATGTCAGCCAAACCCTGTGTCCAAACCAGATAAGGGGCAAAGCAGGAAAAGGCCTTAATTCCAGCTTCCCCACAAAGACACAAGTCCTGAAACAAACGCACCCAGGTGTGTGCAAGAAGCCATGAATCACCCTTAGGCAGACCAAATGACCGATATTAGGAAACGATCAATGTAGTTCCATATTTAGACAGATTAGAGAAGCTCAAACCTTAACGTAATCTCAAACAGATAAAATCCCAGTACTGTACAGGCGTATGCAGGCAGCGATGGCCGGTTCACTTGTTGCTTTGAGTTTTGCTTGGCCGGTTTTCTGTGTTTGTTTGTAGTGAATTGCACTGAATTCCTTGTCAGTAATGTAAATATTCCACTGTAAGTAGATAGCTGATTTGTTTAGCAGTCTGCTAAAGGACACATAGGTAATTCCAGACTGCTGTCATCCGGCCTCTCTGCCTGGCCCTGGCCTTGCCTGTGCACCTGGGGTTACAGCTAGAAAAATTCCGGTAACTGAGATCCCCAGGTGGAAGAGCAGGTTTCTTTCCAATTGTGTTCCCTATGAGTGAACTGCTGTTCGAGGTGGCCTCCCATGTGTCCTCCCACCAGCAGTGTGGGTGTGAGTCTTTGTACCCTCGATGAGTGGGACTGGCTCAATCAGACTGGTTCTGAGAGACCTGACAACAGAGGGAAATGGGGCATGCTATGAGGTGGCATGAGGAAGGGGAGGGAGCACAGAGCGCCCAATACCTTTGTAAGGCGCACCGTTTTCTGGAAAAGGCACTCACAGAGGACACAGTCTCTTAAATTTTGCTTCTTACTAACATAAAAACTCTTATGCAGAAGGGGATGATTTTAGGGATTTGAGAAAATACCTATGTTTTGGGTTGCAGACATTCCTTAGAGAGGCCCAAATGGCCTCCTGTCAAGTAAAATGTGGGAGGTGTGACCAGCTGCTGAGACGGTTTGGCTGAAGGAAGGGCCAGGTCCGAGTTGCTGTGTTAGAGCCCTGGTTCTTCTCAGTCCGCGGTCCCTGTACCACCAGCCCCAGCACCACCTGGGAACTTGTGAGAAATGCAAAGTCTTGAGTCCCCCTCGGGCCTGCTGGATCACCTACCTACACTGGGTGACTTGGGGCCAGCTGGCTGGGTTTTCCTTAAGAAAGAAGGTTCTAGATAAATCTCCCCAGCTGCTTCCAGATGAAACTGCAGTGTTACTGACCTTGGGAATGTCTCTCCGTCCTTTTTCTTTGTCTACTCCTCCCCACCCCCCACTCCCGTCTGCTTGTCTCTTTCTGCCTTTATGTCTGTATTTCTGGCCACATGTCTCTCTCACTCTCTTATTGTGTGTCCCTATTGCCTCTGCCCCTCTGCCAATCTCTTTGCGTCACTCCCGTTCCAACTGTCTCTACCTCTTGCTGTGGTTTCTGTATATCCTTCTGTCTGTGCCTTGGTGTCCATCCTGGCAGGCCATCCGCCTGAGAGTGCATCCACTGTATCTGATGATACCCGGCACAGTTGGCTGTTCCTATGCCTTCATGCTGCCTGTCTCTACGCCCCCCAACTCAATTGCCTTCGCCTCTGGACACTTGCTGGTTAAAGACATGGTGAGTCCGGGCATTTCATGGTCTCACTGGGGGGCACCAGGCAGTGGGCCAGGCATCTGGACAGGATCCCTGCACTCCTGCCCCGCCCTCCAATTCTGAGTAGCACTCAGAGGCTGAGTTAGCAAACGCTCTGGGACAATCCTCATGCTAGACAAGATCCAGAAACACTGCCTGGCCACTGCTTCCCATAGCAGTGCCCTCTCTGGGACTTTCTGGACATACCCTGGGACTTGGGGGTGGGATCCCGGGTCTGGTCAGCCGGGGAGTGAGATGGACAGAAGTCCAGGGTGGTGGCAGTGTGGGGAGTCCCCAAGGTTTTACCTGGACCAACCTTTGGCAGTTCCCCAAAGAATGGGTCTCCCTGCTGAGTCCTCCTCCCATTACCTTCTGCCTCTCCTCCCTTTGCCCCTGGCTATCTGGGGCCCTTGCACAGTGTCCTGAGTTGACACAGCCAAAAAGGGAGATTGACTTAATTGGGCACGAGACCCCAGCAGGATCAATGGAGACAGAACCAGCAAGAGTGGAGAGAGGCAGGAAGTGATACACTTCTGAGGAGAGAGGAGAAGAGAGGAAGGGAGACAGATGGTCCCTTCTTGGTTCACTCATTCCTTCCATGAGCTTGCTGAGTGCATTCTGCGTTCTAGCCACTGGGGGGGGGCAGCAGTGGGAGTGGCTCAGCGCTGCCTCCAAGGAGGGTGCCCTCTGTGGAGGAGACAGACAAATCACGATTTTTAAAACATGATGTCAATTTAGCATTGCTAAGTGTAAAGAAGGAAATAAGATACAGGACATGGGGAGTGGAAGAGGACAATGGGAGATACTTCAGATGGATTGGGAAGGAGGCCTTTCCTACCAGGTGACTTTGAGCTGAGACCTGGTCTTGAAAAGCAGCCAGGCTTGCACAGGAAATGGACAAGGGCTGTGTGAGCAGAAGGCACAGCAAGTGCAAAGGCCCAGAAGTGGGGAGCAGGGTCAGGAGTGGAACTGGAGAGGGCCCTGTGTGGAGGGAGCGGAGTGGAGGGCTCAGATATGGGGCCTCATTCAGACTCAGTGAGAGGTTCCAGTGGGGTATCAGGCAGGGCGATGGTGTGACTTAGCCTCTCACATGCGCACTTTGCAGCTGACTGGAGTGGGCAGAGGGACCAGTGTGGAAGCAGGGAGGCTATTTAGAGAAAAGGTGGTGAGGGGCAGGTTTAGAGAACAAAGAGAGGAGAGAAATGGTGACACCTTCAAAGGCAGAGACTTGCTGAGATGTGGAAAGGTCCAAGGGACCCCATAAGCAGCCAGTGTGTGGCCCACCTGGCCTGCAGGGTTTGCTCCCAGGAGTCATGATTTAGTTGCTAATTAGAGTAACTAATGTGGGACGAGTAGGAACCTCCAGCCTGGCTCCAGGACTCTGGAAAACGGACTCCCCCCCCCTCCCAGTTTCCCACACTTTGTCCTTTTCCTTCTCCAAAGCCAGGGGCTTTCAGGCCCCAGAACAGAGATGGCCACACAGTACAGTGTTTCCGTAGCCTACATTTGGCTTCTTGCCTTCACCACGTATGCCTTTTCACTAAATCAGCTTTGCATATTTTTTAAAACTTAAGAGTATTGAAAAAGAAAAGTTTCTGGCTGGGGGCGTGGTTCAAGGGGTAGAGCACCTACCTGCTTTGCAAGCACAAAGTCCAAGTTCAAACTCTAGTCACACACACACACAAATAAGTGCAAAGCAATAAAAGTAAAATAATTAGATTCTCCTGATAACAGTTGCCTGGAGAAGGTTCTAAGCCTCTCTGTGCTTGTTGCAAAGGGTGGTGGGTAAGGTAGAGAGCAGACTAAGGCCACGACAGCCCCCAGGGGAGTCACACACTGGAGACAGCATTGAACAAGGACTTGCTTTCTCTCCGTGCAATGCACGCTGGGTAACACTAAGGTGAAGCAACCAGGAACCGGAGATTTTCAGCCCCAGGTGGACTGATCCCTGTGAGAGCCTCCAGAGAGGAGGAATTGGCCAAGAGTTTTCTACCTACTTAGAGAGAAACTTCCAAACGAAAAATTCTTCCCAACAGGCAAGTGTAGCCTTAACTGGCCTGCACCACCATGTGTGGGCATGCACGTGTGTGTTTATAGGTGTAGATGTGCGTGTGCGTAAGTATGTTGTTTTGCCATCTGCATGGGGGCCCCGTTGCAGGTGCGGACAGGCTTCCTGATGAATCTGATGGGTGTCCTGCTGCTCAGCCTGGCCATGAACACCTGGGCACAGACCATCTTCCAGCTGGGCACCTTCCCGGACTGGGCCAATGTCCATTCAGCCAACGTCACAGCACTGCCACCCACCTTGGCCAATGACACATTTCGGACCCTCTGAGCACCCCCTGGGGGATTCTCTTGGGGCTGGGTCCTCCTGGGCGGCTGTGGCCATCACTGCTGGGACCATGCAGGGTGATCAAGCAGTTCTCTTGTGGAATCTAATATACAGCAAGCGAGGATGACCTCCAGTGGCCCACTCAGGCCCACAGGCTCATTGTCTGTGACACGTTCTCTTTCTCTCCCATGCCCAGATATCTCCCAGATCTGCTGTTTGAGAAATTGGCTCCTCTCCCTGTGGGCTGTTCTGTAGTTAGGATGTAAGAGAGACCCATTACGCCTCACTGTGCAAATCTGGATGGCGTTTGTCTTGCACACTTGGAATAGGAAGCTGTCTGTCCCCATGGGTCCAGTAATTCTCTTCCCCACTACTTGAGGTTTCTCTGGAGAGAGACCTAAGTGTGTCTCTAAGGTGTCTCTAAGGACCAACCGGTTTGCTTAGAGGCTTTTCAGCTGCAAAGCCTGGGCCAGCTCTTGTCCCTGTTCACAACCCAGTGGGACCTGCTCCCCTGGTGCCCTGATTGGTTTTGACCTCTGCAGATCCCCAGGGGACAAGGGATGAGGAGAGGTGACTTGGTCGGGCATGGGGGAATACAGAGCCTCCTTACTGTCTCTCTGGACTGCCAGGCTCACCAGGGAGTTGGGGAGCCCAAGGGATTTTGGATTTTCCTCTTTAATCTGATTCAGTTTGGCAATAATTCTGGTGTCTGGCCAAGCCTGGGTCCCATCCTCTCGCAGGTGACCCATAGTCCCTCCAGCCTGGGGCCTCCTGCATGTGGCCCTCATGGGGCCTCTGTTGCCAGGAGTCAGTCATGTCTGTTTCTTATCCCAGCAGCTGGTGACTACCTCCCCACCCCCACCCCCAGTAGCAACCATGTTTAGTTAGCTAAGGCCACACTTCAGAGGCGAGAGAAAAGTCACAAGATCAATTGGAGGACTGGAGGTGTGGCTCCAGCAGTAGAGTGCCTGATTTGCAAGTGCAAAGCCCTGAGTTCAAAACCCAGTCCCACCCAAAAAAAAAAGATCAGTTGGAGCCAGAGTAAAATGTGTGTAGCAGGCAAAATATGGTAATCCTTTTCTACATTTGGGGAACACTAGGCTATTCCAGCAAGCTCGTAGCCAGACTTGGGGGAGCGGGGACTCCACTTCCTCTTTCCTGGCAGAAGCAGCTGGGCTGCCTGTGAATGGCACAGGGTTGGGGCCGCAGGCACGCTGCACACAGGGAGCAGAGGCTGGCACCACAAGGGGCAGAGCCTCACACTTCTCCCACCCCGCCCCCAGGGACTGACTGGGCTCTGCCACTGTACCAATGAGTCAGGGTGTTTCCCTGAGAGCAGGGGCAGGGCCCTGAGCTGGAGGTGGAGCTCTGCCTCCTCCCCACGGGACATCAGTATTGAATCACAAGTTCATCCCACCGTGGCTGGACACTGGTGTCCTGCATGGGGCAGGGAGAGGGTCATGCACACAGAAGCCCATAGATTTGTGACCAGTCATGATTTCAAACACTTCTGATCAAAAATGCTGAAAAATAAACAATGTTAATTAGCACTGGAGTGGGGAATCTTGGCTTTCTGAACAGCACAGCTTCAAAGCCCGAATTCCTGGGCTCTGACTCTCTGAGTTCACCTCCTACCTCTCTCCCCTCTCTATTCCACTTGTGCAAACTCTCCTGCCTCAGGGACTTTGCATGTTCTATTCCTGCTGCCTGGAACATTCTGCTCCCAAATACATGCCTGGCTCCCACCCTCACTTTATTCAAGTCCCTTTTCAGATGTCATTGCCCCATCCTGTTAAAATATGGCCCCAGTACTCTCCGCCCTCATGTGCCGTTGTTCCCAGCATGTAGGACTCTGTGTCATTTATTTTCTTGGTTATTAGTTTTGTCTCCCTCCAGCACATGTACAAACGTACATGGCTTGTTGCTGTCACTCCAGCCCTGGGCCAGTTTCTGGCACATAGCAAGGAACTATCCCATCAAGGATTTTGGTGTCATGAGTCAGTAAAAGAATTTACCAAGTCAAGCAAGTAGAAGCACGAAGTTTATGAGGCACTGCTAAGAGAAGTGAGGGCAGCTGGGCACAGTGGGTGTTGCTGCTGCTTCTGGGGCAAGTTTATTAGTGCAGAGCAAAAATGCACCCTCTAGGGAAGGAGCGCTGAGTGGGGGTCCCAAAACCTCAAGCTTTTATTAGGGTCTGCGGAGATGGGGGTGGTCAGGCTTGGGAAACTGGTTGTGTGTCATTAGCTCTCAGAGACTGGCTATGTGTCAGCCTCTCCTCCCACGTGTCCAGCGGAAGGAGTTTGGGGTGTGGATGGTCAGACTGAGGCTGTTATTTTCTGTGGGCTTCAGGAGCTGCAGGTCAGCAAGACCCTGCTGTGTGTCACAAGCCATTCTGTTAATGTCCTTATCAACATCCAAACCACGGTTCTCAGTCATCAGCTTTCCTCAGTCCCTCCCAGCCCCCACATGCTATTTGCTACCTGAATATACACTAAGTTTATGAAAAAGTGACCCAGGTCTGTCCAGTCCACATCTTTGTTCACTCGTTCTCCCATTTGTTCATTCAACAAACATTGGTTGAGACCATGTCTGGGCTGGGTCACCGCCTCCGCCCCTTTTTCTCCACAGAGGAGGCCACCATGGGAAGGTAAAATGCTAAAATTATGGAGTCATGGATCCGGGCAAGATGGTGAACTGATTCAGAGGCCAGGGTGGCCAGGAGGACTTTTCTGAGGAGGTGGCACTGGGCTGGGGCTGGAAATAGCTGGATGCCCTAGCAACGTGGGAGGAGAGAAGGCAGGAATGGTGGAGATCTTGGGGCCCCCCGAGCTGAGGGAGGATGGTCAGGTGGCTGGGCCTCTGCAGATTTGGGATGCCCGGCCTCCATCACTATTGGCTGGCGACAGCCTCTCCACCTGCCCCAGGGCTGTTCCCTCTTCATGTGGCTTGTCCCTGAGGCTGGCAGGCTGGTGTTCTCAGTGAGCGCCCACTGACACGAACTGCTGGTATTGGCCAGAAGTGAGGGATGTGGCAGTGTGCAGGTCACTGGGACACATCAGGGGCTCGTCGGGATCACACAAAGAGTGCCCAGGTCAGAAAGGACAAAAAACAACCCCAAATCTGTTTTTGTTGGACTGTATAGCACTCCTTCAAACCTTTGGCCTTTGACACAGATTCACTGGCTCCCAGTTCTGCTTTTGGCCAGAGCCCTGCAGAGGTGGCCAGGTCCTGGTTCTGTGTGGCGTGGCCAGGATCACTGAGCTGGGAGACCAGCTGAGGCTAGAATGTCCATGGCAGCCACTGATCCTCCAGGGCCCCTCTTCAGGTAGCTTCTCCAGGATCCAGCCTGGACCTTGGGTCCAGAAGCAGGACAGAAGCTGAGGCTAGAAGGCCTCTTATAGCCTGGACAGGGATGTCCAAGAACACCAGCTCTGCCACATTCCATGGGCCAAGGCCGGCCTCAAGAGAAGGAGATGGACTCCCCGTTTGGTGAGAAGAGCAGGAGGCACGGGCAGGCCGAGGGGCCAGCAACAATGTTTGGAAGCCACCTACCATGGCCCTCAGGAGGAAAATGAGCAAGAGACATGAAATGTCATTCCAGAAAAGGACATCTAATGGCAGAGTTATAAAGAGATGCCCCCCATTTGCTTATAATCAGGGACATACAAATGAAAATGAGGTCAACACAGGTGACCGACCTGCAAACCCTAGACAGGTGGACAGTAGAGGGAGATGAGGAACCAGTCCCCGTGTTTTGCTGGGGAGACAAGTGTGCCAGTCAACCCTGCAAAGGGTTTGCAATTATTGGGGACTCCATTATCTGTGTTCCCTATAGCCTAGTTAACCTCCTCCCAGGTTTGTACCCCAGCAAGCTGCCCCAAGGTCCCTAAAGTGACAATGTTGGAGGATGAGGATGCTTGGAGGCACTGAGTGTCAAGGCTACCCAGGTGGCCATCGCTGAGGAACATCTAAAGAAAATCCAGGCGAAGTGTACTATGGAAGTCACACGAACACACAGGCACGCAGAACTGCAGGTGCCCAAAGTGACAGGGCAGACACAGACATGTCCTAGTGTTCAGTAGAACAGATAAATGTAGAGCCAGGTAGGCAGAGGAATGAAGAAAAAGGGTGAAATGAGGCTGGGCATAGTGGTACATGCCCTTAACCCTAGCTAAGGTAGGAGGACTGAGACCCAAGGCCAGGCTGGCAGAAGCACGAGACCCTATCTGGAAAAAAAACAAACAAAATAGCAAAAGAACTGGGGCACGTCTCAAGTGGTAGAGCACCTGCCTAGCAAGCAGGAGGGCCTGAGTTCAGTTCCCAGTACCCCACACACATACACACACACACACCGAAAAAAGAAGAAGAAGAAAAGAAAAGTCATTAAACAAGGAGTTCAGAAGCCCTGTTGGACTCCTGACTCCTTGAGCAGGTTCTGGAGCTTGGTGTTCTCATCGGAGCAATAGGAACACAGTCTGGATGCAACAGAAAACAGCTCACTGACTGGCTAATTTGAGGACAGCTTGTAAGGACCTAGTTCCACCGTGTGAGAGAGAACAGGAAGAATTCATGGGAAAGTGCAGGGCCCGGGGTGGGAAGGCAGTGCTGGGGGTGGAGCACCTTCTACTGCTCTCCTTAAGAGAAAGAGCCAGTCAGTGGACACCTGGAGCTCAAGATGGCCGAGCAGGGAGGGAGCAGCCTGGGGTCTCCTCCCCCCCATATGCACGCACAGTATCTCACCCCCTTACCTTCAGGGGATCCTCCAAGACCCCCAATGTGTGCATGAAGCCATGGTAGTGCTGAACCCCACATCACTAAGTTTTCCCCACAGATGTGCCTAGGATGAAGCTTAATCTATAAATTAGACACGATTAACACCACTGACAATAACCTGCTCGAATAAAACAGTAAAACTTATAAATTGTTCTGAGACGTCTTGTTGACTATTTTTGGGCTGTGGTTGACCATAAGTGACAGAAACCATGGAAAGTGACACCATGCATAAGGGGGGGCTGCTGCATCTCACAGAGGGAGAGAGAGAGAGAGATTTATTTGAGGGACTGGGTCACAGCCGTGCAGTCTTGGGGAGCCCACGTCTGATGGAGGTGTGGGGACTGCAGGCTGAGACTCAGGAAACAGTGGCTGTTGGAACCTGAAGGCCATGGGTTCCCCAAGTCCGAGAAGGTCAGTCTTTTGTTCCATTCTGGCCTTCCACTGATTGGTTGAGGCCCACCCCCATTCTGGAGTGCAGTCTGCTTTTTTCTAAGTCCGTTTATTTAAACATTAATCTCATCAAAAATATCCTCACAGCAACATCCAGAATAATGTTGGACCATATGTCCAGGCACCATGGTTCAATCCAATTGACACATAAAACCTTATGTGGGGCGCCAGCAGAAGCCAGAACACAGGAGGCTTCCATATGGCCCGTCCAGGTCACCTCCCAGGCACAGGGCAGGGAGGAGGGGTGAGAGAAGGAAGAAGACACACTTGCAACATAGCATTGGCATATACATGGCACATGAGGCTTGGACCCCGTGAGAGCTGGCTGTCTGGTGGGTCCCCAGCCCCACCTCTAGCACTCAGGCAGGATTTTGTTTGCTCTTCCCCCAGGGAACTCCCCCAGTAGCTGGTGGGGGGAGGCACGGTTAAGTTGGAGCAGGAACTCTCACTTGTCACAGTCCCCACCACTCCTTATTGCCTTACATGGCTCCCTTCTTTCCCCTCTGCCCCCTCCCTGCCCTGTGGTTCCTACACTACTTGATCCAGAAGTCATATCTCAGATCCAGATGCAACACAGCCCACAGAACTTTCTGTAATGGCAGAAGTGGTCCCCATCTGCCCTGTCCAATATGGGACCCACCCGCCCGAATTGAGAGGTATCACAGTATAACACACTGGACTTTTCACACTTAGCACGAGAAAGCAAACATCAAATATCCTATTAATAATATTGTATATTGTTTACATTGGAAGAATAATTTCTGACTATACTAGATTGAATAAAATATTTTACTGAAATTGATCCGTCTTTTATGTTGTCATTACTCTGTTTCTCTTGGGTAGCACTGTCTGCGTGGTAAGATTTTAGCCAGCCCTGCATGGCTGGACAGTGGCTGGACAGTGGCTTATCCCCAGGCTAAACCCCCAGTGACACCAATATTTGATGGGCCTCTGACTCTGATCTCAGACTGAGCTGAAGGCCACCACTTCCTCTTCTGTCTTATGGCTCTGAATCCTTCACCTCAAAAGTCCCCTCAATGAGGCAGGTTCTATTTCTGATGACTCAGAAGGGCCCCCCACCCCCATACACACCGGATGTTGTGGGCCTTGAGGTCATGCCAGCCTGTATGGAAGAATGACTGCCCATGTGCACCAAGAAAAGCCAAAAATATCTTCCAACCTTCCCCTCCCAGACCTCCATGGTTCCAAATCTTCCGCGTCCACCAGAGGCCTTCTGGAAACGCCCATGTGACCGCTAAGCAATCAGCTCCTGGTGCCTGTGCAGACACTGGCATGGCACTGGCATGGTGCCCGTGCAGAAGCTGGGCAAATGTCTCCAGTGTCTTCTGAGGCTTTCCTTTCTGACCAGCACGATGTCATGACATTTCCAGCGCGATGGGACCTAGGCTGGGGAGGGGAGGACATCTGCAGGGCTGGGGCTCTCTCAGGTATAGCTGGCAGCCCAGGTGCGAGGGAGCAGGGCAGGAGCGTCTAACTAGGACCTACTGGACACTCCGTGTTCTTCCTCACCGACTTTGGAAAGAGCCTAAGAAGTAGCTACCATGTTCTCCTGCTATGGCACGGGTACACAGGTTCAGAGAGGGACAGTGTCCTGCTCAAGGGTCACACAGCACAATAACTGGCAAAGCTGGCATTGGAGTTCAGGTCTGTTATCTGCAGCCCTGGGTCCTGTGATTGAGGGGAACAACCAGAAGCTCCCTGTCACTAGACAGTGCCACAGAAGGCCCCAGCCAGGCCTCCTGTAGAGAGTGCAAACTGGTGGCCCCTGTGGGAAGGCTTTGGCTAACAGTCCCAATAAGACTGGCCAGCAAGAGTGTTTCTTTTCTCTTTCTTTCTTTTTTTTTTTTTTAATTTTTATTCTGACTTGAAAAACTTGGACATTTTTATGTAAAAGGAGACTGATCGGTCTTTGTAGAAAATCTCAGGTCTCCTCAGCTGCAGGGGAGCAGCTGCCCTCACTGAGGGGTCTGGAGTGTGAACCAGGCCATCACCTGATGCCCTTAGACCTTCTCTGTGTGTTCCTGTGTGACTCACACACATAGGGTCACTCTGTGCCTGGTCCTTGCTGCTGTGGAGGCCCCTGGCTTCCTGCAGGGACCCGTGGCCCTCTCCAGGCCACAGAAGGATGACCAGCTTCAGGCGAGGCAACCTGTTCTTATGAGGGAGAGTGACAGGCAGTTGGAATACTGCTTAGCGGGGATTCAGGAGAGGCCTCCAGGGGACAAAGTCCTGCTGGCAGTGGTGGGGACAGAGGTGCTGAGGGAGGCGTCTCTACATTCCTGGTGGGAGTGGGCTGTGGGACAGCCTGGGCAGGGACAGAAGGAACTTTACATTTATTGAGCACCTACTATTTGCAGTGTCAAGGGCATTCTGAAGTTGTCACGGGTCTGTGAATTATTGTCCCCAAAGCAGAGTACATAACGTTAAAAAACTCTGGTCTTAGCAGGGATTCCATGACCTCCTGTAGGTTCTCAAACCCCAAGAGTCAGAGATGAGTCTCCTCCTTGGGCACATAACTATGGAGGGAGAGGGATGGGGAAGCAAAGTTCTTTCTCCCACTCTGTGTGGTCTCTCTGAGCCTCAGTTTTCTCCTCTGTATAATGGGTTAATCCCACCTTCCTGCTATCAGGATCACAGATACTTCTTGGAAAACTTCTCTCTCCCACACCTTCCGGGAGAAGATGAGGCAGCTGGCCCACCCCTCTGGGAGGTGGGCCTCAGGCAGGGCGGGGCAAGGCAGGCAGGAGGGTTAACTAAAGTGTAGAAAAGCAGAAGCAATGGGTTTCCCAAGACCTAGCCATCCCCCCACTTCCTCTCCACCTGCCAAGGCTACTGGAGACTGCCCGCCAGACACTGCCGTTCTTCAGGGACATGAGGGGCCTCCATGGAGCCGCTGAGCACCTCATCAGGACTGGGTAGGTCTGGGGACTTGGGCACTGAGAGTCACAGTAAGAAAGTCAAGCAGTCTGCTGCCTGCAGCTCAAGTTCTGCCATTCCTGGCTGTGTGACCTTGGGTAAATCCTCCCCTCTCAGAGCCTCAGTTTCCCCCTCTGTGAAATGGGAATAACAATAATGACTGTGAAATTGTTGTGAGAGGGCTTGGTTTAGAGTAAGCACTCAACAAATGGCAGGTAGCGGCTCTGTCATGTGCGATACCCAGCATAGAATTTAGCACCCGATGTGACATGGCACCGCCTTTAGTTCTCACATCATTTATATTTGTAGCTATTATTTCGACAGTGGCCTGTTCCAAATACTAATTATTCAGTGGGTGGAGGGCGTTTGATCCCAAATGCAGTCAAGGGCCCGTCAGCACTGTGGTGCACAGGCCTGCACTGCGCTGAGCAGCCTGTAGGTGGCGCGCTCTAAAAGACAGCCAGGGAAGCTCTGTGCAAAGCAACCACCCTAATGCACATTCCTCGCTTCTCCAGAAAAGCAGGAAATCTGGATTTTAATGGGGGAATGATGACGTCAGCCAACACTCACACACCTGCGCATAAGAGTCAGCTCTTGGGGCTGCAGGATTGTGACCTCTGTGCCAGTCCCCCAGGCCTTATGCATCACAGCTCCCCGAGTTCAAGAGCCCCCAAACCATTTGCTAGTCATGCAGTCAGAGTTCAGGACCTCTACCCTTCTGTCAGAGATGCCCAGCCTCCTTCACCCACCTAAGAACTTCCAGCCCCAGCTCAAAGGCTACCTCCTCCAGGAAGCCTTCCTGACTCTCCCAGGTGAAAATTAGTGCCTCCACCTACCTCCCCCCTCCCATCCAGGCCCAGGTACACCATTCTGAGTTCTTGATTCTTTTTGTATGGATTTACCTTTTAACGGTCTGGTTTAAATCTCCCTTACTTGACTGTAAACTTCCTTGGTGTACTGCAGGTGACTTAATACCCTCTCCTACATCTTCGAACATCCATAACCCCCTCCAGCACTGACTGCCTCCTGCTAGCCAGAGCAAACAAGCAATGACGCCACACTCCATGATTATTCATGAGCACCTGCTACAGGGAGACATGTTCTAAGCAGTTCCCTGTCCTGAAGGAGTTGACACTCTAAGGATAGATGGTAGATAGCATGGTGCTTTTCATGTGCCACACACTAGATGACCCCAGAAGGCACATACTTTTATCGTACCACTCTACAGGTGAGAAAACTGAGGCACAGAGAGGCTGAGGAACTTGCCCAAGGTCACACAGCTAGTGAGTGGTAGAGTGGGTATTTGAACCTAAGCAGGCCAGAGATCATGGCCTTACACTTTTCACAAGTGTACAGTTTGCTTGTCTAGACGTTCAACATCATCTTTACCCATTTCCTTGGCCTTCTCCTGATATTGAGGATAAATAGCCTCTGCTCCTTTTTAAAACCAGCCCCACCTGCTTGCCCTCAATCTCACCCACTGCCCCCATCAAAGGACATCTCTCCAGTGAGACCCTTTCCCAGTGTCCCCTTCTCCACTGAGCTTTCCATCTGCAAACGTGGAGTTTCTCCCACCTGAAATGAAGACCCTGGAACTCACTTCCCCTACCTGCTCCTGCCCTGTTTCTAGCTCTTCACTGCAAGACAAGTCTGTGTTCATGTCTCCAATTCTCCTTCAGTCTCCCCTGGACCCACTATGGTTAGGTTTTAATCAAACATGCCACCAAGCTGCCCCTACTGAGGTCACCAGTGACTCCCACGTGGCAAAATGCAAGAGCCCTGGCTCAGTGCCCCCTCTCCACCCATGGGAGGCATCTGACACTCTGATCACTTCCTCCCTGCTCTGAAACAAGCTGTATACTTGGCCTCCCAAGCGCCACCTGTTTCTCAGGCTCTATTGCTGACTCCCTGTCATCTCACAGCACCATATTCCGAAATCTCGTCCTCTGTCTCTGTCTCTGTCTCTCTCTCTCTCTCTCTCTCTCTTCTTTCTCTCTCTCACCATGAATCTTTCCATTGCTCTCACAAGACTATAATCATGGATTCCAGCAGCCCAAACACCCTTCTCCACATCTTCAGGGATTTTGTGAGCACTGACACCCCTGGACGAATAACCCTGGGGCAGGCTGTGATTACTTCAGCTTGTGTCACGTGGGTAAGAGGGGCTGTCTCTGATTGGTCCATCTAGAAAGTGTGCCTGCTTCTGTGGCTAAAAGGGTGGAGCCTGCTAGCAGGCTAGGGGCTCATGGGGCAGGGACAAAGGCAGACCCCTCCTTCCTAATAGACCTGGCCTTCCTAATAGAGGGTCCCCCTGTTTCCTTGTGCAGGTGGAAGTTCTGGTACTTGGGGATCCGCAAAGTACTTGTCCCCCTGCAGGCCGCCTGGGATGCCTTTGCCCAGCCTGTCCCAACCAGTTGTGGCCAGTTGCTGACCCAGCTCCTCCTGTGTGGTTTCCTGGCTGTCGCTGCCACAGATCTCCTTCGCCATTGGCTGATCTCTTCTCAGCTTTATCCTCTGGGACCCTCAGCTGGGGTGACCACTGCCTGTGGCTGCCTGATCTTCCTCAGCCTGGGCCTCATGACCCCAGTCCGCTGCCTGTTTGCCCTCAGCGTGCTCACCCTGGGCACAGAGCAGGGCCGCCGGCTGCTCCTGTCCTACAGTGCTGCCACTCTGGTTGTTGCAGTGGTTCCAAACGTCTTAGCCAACGTGGGTGCAGTGGGGCAGGTGCTGAGGTGTGTCACTGAGGGCTCCCTGGAGAGTCTACTCAACACCACTCACCAGCTGCAAGCCATGTCCAGAGTGCTGGGCCCCGCAGGCCAAGCAGATGGCAGGGGCCTGACATTTGAGGCCCAGGGAAATGGCTCTGTCTTCCAGCTTCATATTCTCAGGGTCACTCAGCATGTCCTGGAAGACTTCTCTGGCCTGGAGTCCCTGGCCCGGGCAGCAGCGCTGGGGACCCAATGGGTGGCCACAGGGCTATTTATGCTGGGCCTCCTGGTGGAGTCGGCCTGGTACCTCCATCACTACCTGACTGACCTGCGGTTCGACAATGTCTACATGACACGGCAGCTGGCTCAGCAGTTGGCAGAGGCTCAGGCCACACATCTGGTCGCTCCTCCCCCCTCCTGGCTCCTGCAGGTGGTGCAGCCGAAGCTGTCCCAGGACGAGCTGCTGAGCTGTGTGCTGAAGCTGGGGCTGCTGGCACTGCTCCTGGTGGCCACAGCTGTGACGGTGGCCACAGACCACGTGGCCTTCCTCCTGGCTCAGGCAGCTGTGGACTGGGCTCAGAAGTTGCCTGCTGTGCCCATCACGCTCACAGTCAAGTACGATGTAAGTGGGACCATGGGAGGATGGCATTGGGTCATTTACTGGAGGGAGGGGGCAAGACATTTGACCCTTGCCTTACAGCTAAATGTAGTTTGCCTCGGAGTGTCAACTCTTGGGTCAACCGTGGGGTCCTGGGCATCTGTAGATAAGCTTACTTGATCCAACAACAGCTGTGAAGTGGGTTCTCTTTTTATTCCTATTTCAGATGAGGATATTGGGACCCAGGGATCTTAAAGTAACTTTGCCCAAGGTCAAGGTCAAGGTCTTCTTGAGTTGCAGAATTTCCTAGTTTCATGTTCTTCATCATATAAATTAGATCAATCTTCCTTAACCTATGAGGTTATCTTGAGTCTGAAAATGTGACGATGTCTCTAAAAGTACTTAGCAAGGTCCATGCCACACAAGAGGTGTTCGATAAATAGTGGTTATGACCAACAGCTCACATTTTGATATTTCAGACTGGATGTAAGGCTTAGGGACAATCTAGAACAGGAGTTGACCATCTATGACTCTCAGAGCAAATCCAAATGGCTTCCTGATTTTATAAAGTTTTATTGGAACACGGCCTTCCATCTGTTTATATACTGTCCAGGCTACTCTACAAAGGCACAGTTCGGTAACCCTAACAGGAACTGGAAGGCCCACAAAGCCTAAAATTTAATAGTAAGATATAGGGCTGAGGGTCTGCTCAAGTGGCCGAGCCTCTGCCTAACAGTAATATACAAAATACTCTCTTAGAGTAGATACTTTACTATTGGATCAAGATTTGTTACTCAATCTTTTCTTTGCTACAGTCTTGTCATTTTTAGTAGTGAGATCTCACACAAAAGTTCATCACATGAAACATACCAAAGTGTCAGACCCTGAGCTAATAATAACTTACACTTATTAAGCACTTACTCTGTGCTAGAAAATTATTTTTTCAAACGATAGGAAATCAATTTAGGTGGCATGACCAGCTTCTGTTTTAGTGAAATAAGCTAGACTAGGAAATAGAGAGTATGTTGTAGATGATATGGGTGTTATTATTTTGGAAATTTCTCTTCAATTATAATACAATGTGTGCTTGGAAGTTTCTATAAAGCACATTCTTTTTTTTTGTGTGTGTCATTCACTGGGTTTGAACTCAGGGTCTCATACTGGCTAGGTGCTCTTACCTCACTATGCCAGCCCTAAAATGCACTTCTTACTGTAGGCCACAAGAAGGAAATGTGTCAGGGGATGTTCTCAGCATGTCCCCTGATTTTCTCTATGTTATCAAATGTGAGCTGACATGAGTTCCAAATCCACTATTATTTTATGTGACATTAAGAGAAAGTGCTGCTGAGTCATCCTTGATGGGATGTGTTCTTATAATGTAGCATTTCAACTGCAGTCATATAAAGTCATTGCCTTATCATGATCATTTTGATGATCTCAAAATAAGGAACTAATTTTTGGCTTTTTTTGGGGGGGCACTAGGGTTTGAACTCAGAACCTCATGCTTGCTAGCCTGGTGCTCTACCACTTGAGCCGCTTCACCAGCCCTGTTTATGTTGAGTACTTTTGAGATAAGGATCTTGGTGAACTATTTGCCTACGCTGGCTTTGAACCTTGATCCTCCTCATCTCTGCCTCCTGAGTAGCTAGGATTACAAGAGTGAGCCACCAGTCCCTGGCAGGGAAGTAGCCAAGTCCAGCTCTTCTCAATGACTCTGGCCAAGTTGTTAGGGTCCTAAAGCTTCTCACTAACCTCACTGTCTTCCGAGGGTTGGGGACGCCCCTCCATTGTCCCCAGCATTTTCCTTCAGCTTGGGACAACTGTGTCTGCAAGGGTTGATGCTGTGCTCTGATCCTCTGGGAGAGCATGAATTAGCCAACCCCTCCTCGCTGCTTGGCATTCTTTCTTCTTTCTCCAGGGCTGTGGAGTTTCTCCTACTTTCAGCTGAACCCTTTTGGGTATAACAGGCTGTCTTTTGCACATGGGCTAGTGACTCAATATTCCCCAGCCCCATCTACTCACATGAACCCCCTTTCATAACCTGTGGCTTGGCGGGAAAATATGAGCTAACAGTCACTCCTCAAAAATGACTGTTTGCTTCACTAATGCTACATGCATGCCCGCCTTCTCTGTCCTCAATTTCAGTAGAGACACCAGAACCATCTGCTTCTCAAGCAGAATTTTCTTGGACATTTTGGAATGATGACCAGCTTGCACACAGCCCAATGTGTATAGCTCTGCTGAAATGATGGCCCAAACAAACAGGCCAAGTTTCTACAGCGTGGCTGCTGTGTTGGCTGAGTGACTGCTGGCAGCACTTCCAAGTCCTCCTGACTTCAGAGATGGTAAAAGGTGAAGAAATACACATCTCAGAGCTGATGAAATAGGGCGTGATTCCATGAGATAGGAATTATTACCACCATGCCTATTACAGATGAAGATGGGGGCTTAAGAGTTAGGGAATTTCCCAAACTCATCCAGCCCAGCAGTGGCAGAACCAGAATGCACTGTAACTTTCACGGATCCCCTCCATTAAAAAAAAAAGAAAGAAAACCAATGACCACATTGCTATAAAAGCAAATATATTAATGTTATACACAGAGATATAACTTACATTTTTTACTTCTGAGTTTAAACAAAATGAAAATGTTTTTGTGAGCCCCTAAAAGTATTATCCTGTGAGGCCTCATGGAGAAATCAGCTCTGGATAGAACCAAAATCCAACCCAAAATCGGGAGCCAAAGTGCCCCTGGTTCACCTCTGACCTCCTGCCTCTCTGGGACCACCTGTGCAAACTGCTTACAAGCAGGACACTGCAACCCACGTTGGGGGAACTAAGCCCTGAGGCAGTCACATTTAGTTCACTGTGAGACTTTGGGTTCCTGGTCCTTTAAATCAGTCTGCCATGGGACCCCAACCTCACAGACTAGTGCTGGTTTGATGGAATGGCACATGTGAGGTATGCAGTAAGCGCTCACTAACAGTCAACGACCATAAGCATTAGTTGACTTACTCCAAAATATTCTGCTCAAAGACAGTAAGAACGACAATAGGGACACTTGTCGGGCACTTTTTATTTGACAAAAGAGCTGGTGTCCGCCTCAGTCGGATTTGGTCCTCCCCAAACTCTTGGAAGCAAAGTTATTTCTGCACCCATTTTGCAGGTGAGAGCAGGGAATGGTGGACCCATGGGTCCCTGCACCTTGCAAGTGGCCGGGGACTGGCGGTGACCCTTTGGCTCTCTGTTGACTCTGCCTTTTTCTCCTTTTTGAAGGCATCTTACACAGTCCTGGGCTTCGTCCCCTTCCTCTTCAACCAGCCTCCGCCAGAGAGCCCGTGGGTGTCCTCGCAGCGCTCCTACCGGTGGGAGCTGCGCCTGGCGTCCCGCGGCTGCCCGCTGCTGCCCGCGCTGCGTCCCCGCGCCGCGGCCCCGCTGGCCGCGGGCGCCCTGCAGCTCCTGGCCGGCGCCACGGTGCTGCTGCAGACCTACGCCCGGCGCCTGCGGCACGCCATCGCCGCCTCCTTCTTCTCCGCGCAGGAGGCCAGGCGCGCCCGACACCTGCTCGCCCGCCTGCGGCGAAGGCACAGCCGGCGTTGCGGCCAACCGCGGTCCCCCGGGGCGCCCTTCCACGCCCGGGCCCCGGGCCCCGGCCTGGGTGGACAGACCCAGAGCGGAACAAGAGCTCTGGGGTCCCACGCACCTCCTGCTGCCTCCCTAGGTAGTGGCCGTAGGTTGGCCACTGCACCTCTCTGAGCCTCAGTTTCTCCATCTGCATGATGACTGTGTGATGAAAATTGTTGGGATCTGCTTTCCACGTGGGAATGAGCAAGGAGCCAGTGGGCATGGCGGAGGGGGTGGGCGCAGGTGGAGTAAGCACTGGGACACCCACGATCCTCTAGGCCCCATCCGCAGCTGCTGCCTTTACCTGTCAGGTAGAGACGAATTAATTCAAATTAATTCAAATTAATTCGTCTGGAACTTGTTTGCATGCCTCTGAATCCTCTGAACTTATTTATAGTAATCTGAATTTGTGATTTTATAAATGAACCTATTTATTAAATCTTAGATTAAATGTTATTTATTTGCTTTGAACTGCCCTGGGGCTTTCCATCTAGGATAGCCAGGTTTAACAAATAAAAATGTCGGGTGCCTAGATCAGTTTGAATTTCAGATACACAGTGAATAATTGCTTAGTATTCCTTGACCTCTGGTGTGCCCTCAGTCCCTGGGTCAACCACCCAGGTAACCCACTGTGTGACCTTGAGTTCTCTGCTGTCAAAAAAAAAAACAAAAAACAAAAAAACCCCACAATGACAACAAACTTAAAATTATTGTTTGGATTTTATTTGGGATAGAAGAATTGGCAACAATGCATTCCACAGAACAGAGGGAGTGTCCCGATGGGCTGGCAAAGGAGTCTGGCTTTATAGATAGAAAAGGGCCAAAGGAAGGAACAAAGAGAAAAAGATTCTACCTTGCAGAAGAGGTCAGCTAGGTCAGCTTCTAGACCTTTCCTAGAGCAGAATCTGAGTGAGGAGTAAACAGGAAATGAAAAGTCGGGAAGCTTTAAGTTAGTCTAATGTGAAGCGAACTGGTGTGGGCCAATTGGATGTCCTGTCACTCAAAGCTTAATTACAGGTAAAAGAAATTGGAGTAGAAATTTTAAGTAAGGGAGCTCACCCCTGCTCAGACGGATAAGAAACCAGGAAGCAACCAGTCAAGGAATCAGCCCTAAGAGTGCACTGTCTTAGCCATGTCTGTGCATCCGGAAGACACCATTACAACCAGAACCATGCTGCACACCTGAGAGCTGACCAGCAAAACAGGGAAACCAGGCCCCTCTACCCCCAACTTCCACAAAGCCGGTGCTCAGGTGCTGAGATCTCTGGCCACACAGCACCTCCAGCAGGGCTGCTGCATTGCACACTTCTGGGGGCTATGCTGTCCACATCACACTGTATGTGACCCATTGTCCAAGTGACACTATCCCTGGTCTGTGGATGCCCTACAGTCTGCATGACCATACACAACACCTTGGTTGTCAGGCCTTGCAGTGGAATAGCAGTGGAAATCAAGCCTCCATTTCAGGCTCCAGAGGTCACATGAGTGCATCTGATCAGTGGAACCTAAATTACACTGGAACCCTAGCTGCAAGAGTCTGGGAAATTACTTTTTAGTTTCCAAACTTTCAAACTTTTTGACTGCCAATCACCCCTCCACACCCAACTGAAGTAAAAGTTTAATTAAAGACACTTATTTAATGGAATGCACTAGATATTTTCTATTCTATTAAATTCTGTCCTATTCTAGTCTACTCTATTAATCAGATACAATTCTATTTTGTCCTGCTGTTTTATTCTTCTTCATTAAGAAGATTACTGGTAAGGGCCGAGTGTGGTGGTTCATATCTGTAATCCTAGGCACTTGGGAGGTAGAGATAGAAGGATCACTGGCAAAAGCTCAAGACCTTATCTGAAAAATAATCCAAAGAAAATAAGGGCTGGGGGCAGGGCTTAAGTGACAGAGCACTGACTAGCATATATGAGGCCCTGAATTCGAACCCCAGCACTGCCAGAGAGAGAGACAGAGCGAAAGACAGACAGAGAGAAAGAGAGAGAGAGAGTTTTCTCTCTCATTTTAGTAAAACTAAAATGATCTTCCCTTTTGCTCTGTGCTGTTGCCAAAGGCTTATCTGAATGAAGGACCAGTGCCAGGGCAGGGGGGCTGCTGCACATGGCTCAGTGATCACAGATGGTGCTCCACCCAGGACTTCCCATCCAGACCCTTTTCTTGAAACTGACATCCTGAGACACATCTAGGCCACGGGTTTTTAAGAGGATGGAGAAGAGAAATCTGCAATCCAGCCCTCCACCCCACACCCCGAGCTTGGAGGTATTTTTAGGGTGTGAGTCACCACCTGTGGGAGCAGAGCTCCAGTCACTTTTCCTCCCATTTCTCAAATGTGCTCCTCTCCAGGGGTATTAGTGACCACCCATGACACCCAACGCCCAGCTCTGACTCCCTTCCCAGCAAAACTGCCCTGCTCAGTGACTCAGCCTCAGCTTTTTCTTTTCTTTCTTTTTTTTTAACTACACAAATAATACCTAAGTCCTTCTTATAAAAACTCAGAGCATTACATGTAATAATAGCTCGTGTGTAGTGCGTACTTATGGTGAGTTAGAAAATGATAAGTACCTTGTTTTTAAGCCCTCATTTGCAGCATTCACTGACCCCATAGTGTAAACTGTTCCACTGGGGATTTCAGATTCTTCACTGGATGTTCACTCCTGGAAGCAGAGCGGGGAGGACGTGCTTATGACTGGCTCCAGGGACTGGGGCGGACTGATCCTGAAATGGTTAAAAGACTTAGCCAGAGAGAAGCCATTAATCAGGTGTCCAGAGAGAAGCCCTTAATCAGGTGCCATGTTAGCTTCAAAGCTGAAGGAGGTTCATGAGGTCTGGTTCCCATAAAATTAGAAGAACAGAAGGAACCAAACTAGGATATGGTCAAATGATTGTGTGGATTGTGTTGATTGTGTCCACTCATGTTTATAGATAGCAGCCATTGTCTCACTTCTGCACCTTAGCTAACAGCTATTGTCTCGCTTCTGTACCTAGGCTAGCTTGCTTTGCAAAGATTGCCAGACAGGATGTAGTTTTTGCCTTTATAAAACCTGCAAAAGTTTAGAGAGGGGCTACTCTGAGATCCAACGACCTGTTGGTCAGGGCAGTCGCCAGCTGGCTAATAAAGACTCTCCTTTAAAGTCTTTCTTGGGTGGTCATATCTCATTCTGGCTCGTAACAATCCCAGCATAATACAGTGCCTGACGCTCCACTAAAGCTGTGTGCACATCATCAAAGTATCTGAGGAAGCTGGGCTCTTGTCATCCTTCCTTTGGAGGTAGACTTTATGATACAGACACATTAAGTGTTTTGCCCACAGCTGAGCCAGGATTTAAACCCAAGTAGTCTGCCTGCCAGAATGCACAGTCTCTCCAATAAGAGTACAGTTCCCTTTTTGATGGTCACACTCAAATCTCTTGGGTCCTTTATCCCCCAGACATAACCACAGTCATCACTTGGATGGGTACCTTTCAGATGTCCTCCTCCTCCTCTTCTTTTTTGTGTGTGGACACAATACTGGGGTTTGAACTCAGGGCCTTGCACTTGCCACACCCCCAGCCCTTTTTGCTTTTTTTAGTTAGTTTAAAGACAAGGTTTCATTTTTTTTCCCAGGGCTGGCCTCAGGTAGGGGTGCTCTGACCCATGGCTCCCACATAGCTGGGATTACAGATATCCAGCTTGTTTATTGAAATGGGGTCTCACTAACTTTTTGTCTGGGCTGGCCTTGAACTGAAATCCTCCCTATCTCTGTCTTTCCAGACACTGGGATTACAGGTGTGAGCCACTGTGCCTGGCCTTGGACGTTTTTTTCTAATCATAAACATGTATGGAAACATAATATAGAAGTACAGAGTATTTGTTGTGTTTTAAATAACATGATGCTATGCGTGATGGTTCTGCAGCTTGTTTTTTCACTGAACAACATGTTTTGTCATTTTCATCATTGAAGAGCATCAATGTGCCATTAGTCATTCAGCAGCAAGCCTGAGGGTAGAGGGTTAGGTGGTGTCTAGGATTTGCTGGAAACAATGCTGTAGCAGACATCTTTGCCTCCTTGAACAAATCAGTGATCCTCAGGAGAGACTGGAACTTCCTGAATTCCATGGGTTTTAGGTTTTAGATGTGGGCTAGTTATATGGGCAGATGGACATTGAAGATGGTCCCCAGTTGTTACCGGGAAACCAGTCCCCTGGCCTCGTTGACAATTTACATATAATGAGAGCAGGGTTTTGAGGAAAAGAAAACAGGGAGGGCAGGGAGAGTCAAGCCCTGGATGCTCTGTGGTCCCACTTCTGAAAGATGGCGTCTCCTTTTAAAGGCGAGTTCCGGGACTCAGCCTGACTGAGTGACCTGATGCATGTTCACCTGGCCTTCATTCTGCAGGTGTCCAGCACCACTTCTCTGAAGCTGTATGTCCTGGCTGCAGGTTTACTCCTCTGGTGGACAGAGAGAGATAAGGGGTAGAGAGCTGCCTGGTGTTATTGGAGAGAAAGATTCATTACTGGATCTCCAGCAGTTAGACGAAGAGGGGAAGAAAGTTAGCCTAATCGACACAGTAAAGTGGCCAGCAGGCAAGCTGGCTGTACAAAAAATTTTGGGTTTTTTTTTGCTTTTGTAATTCCAGTTACATTTTCCCCACTGTCAATTTATTCCTTCCATTCCTATGGAAAAGAGGCACTGCAGTCATCTCACTGTTTGCTGCCTTTAGTGAATTCACGGGCACAAGTATGGCATCATTGCTCCTCAGCAAGAGCAGCTTTTAAGTCCCTGTTACAGTCACCTCTCCCTCCTGGCTCCCGTACCCTTGTCGATTCCCTCCTCTTGAACACAGGCAGACTTGCCTCTAGCTAATCAAATGTGACACTGAGGCAGAATAGATCAGGGAGATGAAGCATGGGAAACAGCGCACAGGAATTTGGAGATGAACACTGTGTTAATAAATGGCTTGCGTAAAAGCACACAGCCACTGTTTTCTTTGATTTAAGCTTTATACCCACTCAACAAGCTGCACTATCTAGTAAAGGGGGTGGAGGGCGCAGCTCTCTCTCTCTGTCTCTGTCTCTCTCTCTCTCTCCCTCTCTCTCTCTCTCTTTCTCTGACCTTGAATACCTGTCCAAAAGATTACACTCTTGGAGAATGAATGAAGGGACCTTGCAGAAAGACACTGGTGGAGCGGCTCAAGTGTACAGCGCCTGCCTAGCAAGCATGAAGACCTGAGTTCAAACCTCAGTACCACCAAAAAAACCCAAACAAACAAACAACAACAAAAACCCTAAGACACTTATCCTGGGCAAATGAATTCTCTAAGTACAAAAAGTATTTACAAAGGAAAGTACTTATCACAGAGTATCACAAATGCCACTTGTCATGAAGGGAGCGTCT